CTGCAGAGCCTCTGGTGGGTTCAAACCGCCAACCTTTCAGTTAGCAGCTGAGCGCTTAACTGTTGCGCCACCTGGGCTCCTTCCATATATACATACATATATACACATAACTCATTACAAATCCGTTGCCATCGAGTTGATTCCGACTCATAGTGACCCCACAGGACAGAGCAGAACTGCCCCATAGAGCTTCCAAGAAGCAGCTGATAGATTCGACTGTCAACCTTTTGGTTAACAGCCACTTAACCACTGCGCCACCAGGGCTCCACGTATACAAATACATGCACATATATAGTTACAGAAAAGAGAAAAAATTCTGCAGAGAACCTCTAGGGATTTTTGTCCACCCACCAGCTCGGCACTACTGTTAACAACAAAGGCTCTGTCTAGAGTCAGACCCGCCCCGAGTTCGAATCCTGGACCCACTGGTTTTGTGCTGTTGAAAAACCCCCACGAACGTTTATTAACACCCTACTCTGTACGAGGCGCTGCACCAAGTGCTTCGTATGCGTAATCTCATTTCATCCTTTCAACAGCTCTTGAGGCGGCCGGCCACGTGGTGAGAGCTGGGAGCCAGCTGGCCAAGTGGGCGGGAATTGGGGCTCTAGGGCCGAAGTCTTCACGGGGAAATGGAGACAACAACAATGACTCCACAAAGCTGTCGCAATAAGTGGACTCCTAACAATGCAAAGCACAGTGCCTGGCACAGAGGTCCGTCTTGGAAAATGTACATAATAAACACTAACACTTATTGCTACATCATCATCATAATGCTGTTGCTGTCAGCTGCCGTGAAGTGGGCCCCCGACTCATGGCAACCCCACGCACAACAGGATCAGAGCATTGTGATCCACAGGGTTTTCACTGGCTGATTTTCAGAAGTAGATCATCAGGCCTTTCTTCCTAGTGTATCTTAGTGGAAGCTTTGCTGAAACCTGTCCAGCATCATAGCAACATGCAAGCCTCTACTGACAATAGATCACAGCATATGTTACCATTACTATTATTACTTCATGAAAGGGGAAACTGAGGCCTAGAAGGAAAAAGGGAGGGGCAGAGAGAGAGAGAGGACCAGGATCCCCATCTCTTAATCCACTGCTCTGTCCACTCTCTGAGTTTTCTAAAAGTAAGTCCCGAATGGTTCCCGACGATGATCCTGCAGAAATGTGGACGTCCAGTGTCTCTTAGCACTGGCCCGACCACTGCTGAGGGCTGAGCGTTTAAGTGCTGGAGGCTTGTGCAGCAAGGCTCGGGGAAGGCTAGTGGCCCACAGGAAAGGCCCTTTGCAGTGGCAGAATTCTCGTCTTCCATGTGGGAGACCTGGGTTCAATCCCTAGCCAGTGCACCTCATGCATAGCCACCATCCGTCAGTTGCTGGAATGCTGAACAGGTTTCAGCAGAGCTTCCAGACTAAGATGGACTAGGAAGAAAGGCTTGGTGATCTACTTCTGAAAGTTGGCCAGTGAAAACCCTTCGGATCACAGCGGTCCGATCTGCATCCCATCAGGGATGGTGCAGGACCAGGCAGGGTTTCATGCCACTGTGCATGGGGCCGCCATTAACTGAAGCCGACTAGACATCAGCTAACAACCACCACCACCTCTGGCTTGGGCCAGGAAGCTGCTGCCCCAGCTCACCTGTGACGCACAAGGGGCAGGTGAGGCAGGTGAGCTGCTGCCCCCAGTGGTCAGTCTTTAGAACCCTGACACTGCTCTCCCCCAGCCCCTGCCCTTGCACCTACACGCTCCGGTGCCACCCGCTGTCACTGTCTCTTCCCTCCTTGGTCCTCCACTAGACAAGAGAGCTCCACAAGACAGGAGACTGTGTCTCTCCTGAAATGGCCGGACGCCTGGCACAGGACCTAGTCTCTGGCACACACTCAGAGAAGAGGCTATGTCTCTTCTGAAATGGCCGGACGCCTGGCACAGCACCTGGTCTATGGCACACACTCAGAGAAGAGGCTATGTCTCTCCTGAAATGGCCGGACGCCTGGCACAGCACCTGGTCTCTGGCACACACACCGGAGACAGTGGTTCAGCTAAACTGAGCCGGGAGACGATAGCTCCTTCTGGACATGCGACAACCACGCAACGGATGACAGAGCGGAGGAGTGCTTCATGACCAAGGCCCCGGGTCAGACGAACTTCAGTTCAAACCCTTGCGCATTGTATGGTCCTGGGCAAGACAATGCATCTCCCCAAGTCTCAGCTTCCTTCTAGGGGCAGCAGGGGTGACAGCATCGCTCTCTCCCGGGCTGCTGTGGCTTAAAGGAGATGAGAATGCACAGTGGGGCGCTCAGCACAGAACCTGACACCTGGCCAGCACTCTGGAAAAGGGAGCTGCGGCTATTACCCCTGGTAGGAAGAACCCTCAAAACCTGCCTGGCAAAGTGGGCCACGCTGGCTCCCCTACACCCTGCAGTCTTCCCCTAGCTAATGACCTTTGCTGGCCAGTGGCTTTGTCTGCAACACCAGCTCTGGCTTCCCCGACAAGCTTTGTCTCCTTGAGAAGGCTGACAGCGCCCCCTGCTGGCCACCACTGGGAACTGCCCCGGCCCTAGCCGAAGCGAACAACAAAAGCGAGGTAGTAGTGCCCCAAAGAAGGGTTTCCATTTCAGGGGTTTATGAAAACTACCATCGGAACAATGGCAGAGCGAAGAGACGCCGCATGTGATTACGTTCGGTGGACACTAACTCCTTGTCTTCTAAAAATAAACATGAAACGTGAGATCAAACAAAGCGTGCTTCCTCTCCCGTTACTGTCTTGTTTCCCCGGACCAGCGTCATCCTAAATGAACTGCGGAACCGAGCGGAACTGTCATTTTGGCGGGATATTACCTCCTTAGCAAGCCTGTTTGGATCTGGTGGTTCTGAAATTGGACACTTTTTAAAAAGCAGATGCACGTTACAATGAGCAGACGCACGCGAGGCTAAGGATACCCGCCTTCTCGTAAGGACAACCATACTTACTCCTCTGGACGGATCTACCCGGTGCAGAGAGCTGGCAAATGTCCCCCAGGTTGCGGCCCAATCTCCCCAGGCTGTTAAGGCCACGCAGGGGCCCTGGAAGCCTCTGAGACCCCTGGTACTGAGAACCCGTCGGTGCCCAACAAACCCCGTCCATTAATGAACTGTATGCCATCGTTGGTTTAGAATAAGATGGGAGAGGGGCAAGGATTTTCAAAGCAAATTCCCCAAACAGCCTCCCATTCTTTACACCAGTGAGTGGAAGCGAAGAGGGTAGGTTTCACACCAGGATGATTCTCTAAGTTTCTAAAATACAGGATCATTTTGCATCTGCATTTTACCTTCGGAGTTGCTAACTGGTAATTCTAACAGGGACTTACCTCCTCTGATCTCCATGCCAGAAATCAACAGACACAGATTGGAGGAACAAGACCGAGTCCATGATACCCTCAGTTTCCACCCAAGATACTGTCGGTCCCTGGAACACTCTTAGACTGCAGCCAGGCCTCAGTGGTTTGCTGGGTGGGGGCTAACTGCCTCTGCTGTCCATTCCGAGAGCCGGCGGGTCTCTCTCTGCACTGCCCAGCATGTGCCATCACCCAGGACTGCCCTGGCTTGAAACCTTTTCCTTCAAGTCTTTTCATAAAGATGTCTCAGAGCTTGGTGCTGGGTGACACCTAACTAATCGGAAAAGCCAAACGGTGTCCCAGGCCACCAGAGGGGTTGCCAATGAGTGGTCCTTGGGCTGAACCTGGCCCACAGACAGACTGTCCTGTGCAGTGTTTGCTTTCAAAACGTGAATTAGCTGCCAACTCACTTCCTGTAAGAATCCAGAGTGTCAGTTTCTCTCTGAAAACACCAGAAGACGTGGTCCTATGGCATCACACTCCTGTCTGGCAGCACAGCTGGGAGAGAAGAGGCCCACAGCCTGCTTTACTGCTCCCATCAGCCACTGGCCCCTGACGGAGAGTTTTCCACCCTTGTGCTGCAGCAAATGCACCCTCATTTCAAAAGGGACTCTCCATGGGCAGCAAGTGAGACCAGTGGTCCCCAAGTCCAGCTGGACATTAGAATCCCCTGGGGAGCGTTTATCCAAATACCAACGTCTGAGCTTCAACCCCAACAAGGGAGTCAAACTCCCTGGGGGCGGAGCCACACCAAAGGTGGTGGTTGTGTGCCATGCAGTCAATTCTCACTCACAGTGACCTCCTGTGACAGAGCAGAACTGTCCCATAGGGTCTTCTAGGCTGTAATCTTTATGGAAGGAGCCCTGTTGGTGCAATGGTTCAGCACTTTGGCTGCTAACCCAAAGGTTGGCAGTTCAAACCCATTCAGTGGCACCATGGGCAAAACGCCTGGTGATCTGCTCCCTTAAAGATTAGAACCTAGAAAGCCCTGTGAGGCAGTTCTACTCTGTCACGTGTCGCTGTGAGCTGAAAATTGACTCAAGATGGCACCCAGAACAACAACAATCTTTCCGGGAGCAGATTGCTGGATCTTTCTTTCCTGGAACTATTGAGCGGGTTCAAACAGCCAACCTTTGGGTTAGCAGCCAAGAGCTTAACTGTCGTACCACCAAGGCTCCGCCATAGCAAAGGTAGGTTTATATAAGTCCCAGGTGATTCAAAAGTGCAGCGAAGGTGAGAACCGCTGGCATAAACCAAAAGAGTGAGTCTGTGGTGGAGAATGTCAGGCAGGCCAGCAGAGAGCTGGCTTCTAGCCTCCTGGGGCTCCTGCCCCTCCCAGGGGTTGGGGACAGGGATGGAGAAGACTGCTTGCCCTTTTCTGCCCGCTCTGAGCAGAGGCGGCCTGGCTATTTGGACTTTTCTCTGCTTAGTGCTCTGGGACCATCCTCTGAGATTAAGGGTGATAAATCAAAGGCAGCCAGAAGCTGACCTTTTCAAGACCACTGCGCTGGCCTTCAGTGGAACCATCCAGGGCCTGAAGGCCGCCTTCCCCAAAGCTCCAGCAGTTTCTCCGCCTGCCCGCCCGCCCACCCACCTGCGGGTCCGAGACAGTACCGGCGCTTCTCACCTGAAGAGCTCTCGGATCTCCCGGCTGTCGGCCTGGAAGGGGATGTTCCGCACCAGGATCTTGGAGGTCGTCTGCTTTCTGGCCACTTGTTTTTTCCGAGTGGACGTCGTGGCTGGCCTGAAGGGTGCAGGGGAGAGGGCGCAGGTTATCTGTGCCCCAGCGGCACCTGCCTACACTGCTGCACCCCCCTCCCTCCCGGAACCGATGTTCCCGCCTTATGTTCAGATGAAGGATTCCAGGACTGTGTGCCCGGGGCTTGGGGGTGAAAGAGGAGGAAGGCAGTCTTCCCCGGGGTGATATGGATCACAGTCCTCTTCACGCCAGAAGAGCTGCCAATGTCCATCCTTGGGTACTGCTGCCCTCCACTTCAGAGACTCAGGGGCTATGTGAGACTTATAAACAGAGACCCTGTTTTTAGCTGCTAAGTTTTCGGGTACTTGGTTACGCAGCAACAGATGATGAACATGACTTCACTAGGCACATTTCCAGGGCTCAACAGCCACATGTGGCAACTGGCTACAGCCTAGACACTGCAGTATAGGACAAGTCCATCGCTGGAGAAAGTTCTATTGGACAGCACTGCTCCAGAATGTAAACTTCACAAGGAAACTCTGGCCCCACCCTTACGGTGTCTAGTACACCGTAAGGTTTCAATAATTGTTTGCTGAATCAAAGAATGGCTAAGTGCATACTGGCAGAAGTGAGAGCTTGCAAGGCTGACTGCAGGCTGACTCCCTGGAGGAAGCGTACTGAAAAGAAAGATCACCGCTGTGGCGAGTGCGCATGTGCCTGGCACTGTGCCGCGAATGGTTCACACATCTTCTAGTTACCACATTTTACTTTACAGGCAAAGGCACTGCCCAAGGCCACGCAGTTCCGAGATTAGAACCCAAAGCTGTGGGGCTCAGCCTGGGCTTCCTTTTTGATGCCACAGTTCTGGAACCCCCGTTAGACTTCTGAGGACTCCCCGTGCCAAGCCTTCCTCCTACTAAGGATGTTCTGCATTGCACAGACTGTGATGGGTGAGCACCAGCAGACAGAGTCTACACTGGATTCACAGGCCCCATTAAAGGACAGAGAAGAGAAGGCAGCAGCTCCAGGTCAATTCACTGGCAGCTAATTTGCTGAATGACCACAGCAAACGACCTACTTGCTGAAGACGAGCAAATAAATATCTTAAACCAGCTCTAGGACTGCCAGAGGCAGTCATTTTATCACCCGAGGCAGGTGGACGATAATGACGACAATAATAATAACGGTGTACGCCGGGCACTTGCTCTGTGCCGGGCACTGTTGGAAGCACCTCAAGTGTATCAGTTCGTTTAGATGTAAAAGCAGGTGGAGATGCCGGGGGAAAATGGAAACTCTGAAAAAATACCCCAGTGCTTCCGGAAACTGGTCGTTTGGCAAACTGGTCTGCTTCCAACTCTAACGTCTCCTGAACCTCTTTCAAATTAACGGGAGGCCGTCTCTGGGCACTGTTGTCCAGCTCTGAGAAAGAAAGGTCTATAAAGCCAAATCCCGGCATTCTATAGCTTCTTCTGATTCGTCTGAAGCCCTGGCAACTTGGCACTCTTCCTTGGCTTATTTATATGGCCAAAGTGAGCACCATTTGATTGTTTCTCCTGCACTTGTTCCTTTTATTATAATAAATGGTATTAAAACATTTGCCCGGAGGGCTGTCCTGGGCTCCGTTCATCAGGGAAACAGGTGTCGGAGTTGGGCTAAGGCGGTGCCACCTTAATGAGGAAGAGCCCTCAGATGGTGAGGGGCTGGGGTGGGGAGGACAGACTCCGGGGCAGACAGACAGACTCACATCGAAGGCCGGGGAGGACACCAAGGACTCACTTGATAGCTCTTTCTGAAATCCGCACTTCCAGCTTGTGGCCGTCCAAGACATGACCCTATGAAGTAAGATAACATGGCTCATCTGTCTGTCCTCTGGAATACTCACCCACATCCTCGTCCTTCATCAGAGAGAAGAGTTGCTGCAGGGCGGGGAAAGGAAAGCGGGGAGGGAGGACAGACCGTCCCCAGGCAGAGAGGCTTGCTAGAACCCAGCACAGAGAATGGCTTTTTCTGGAAATTGCTCAGGCTGAGCGAGCCTGCCACTGGTGGTCAGAAACCCAGCCCTCCAGTGTTCTCCAGCCATGAGTGGGCCTTGACCTTCAAACCATTCAAGGGGCATAGAATTGAGGCCTGACTTTTAAACCATTCAAGTGGCCTAGAATTTCCCATTGTTTAGTAACATTTTCAGGCAAAGGAACCCCTTTTGGTCTGGCTGGCAGATAGATATTGGTTTAGTTTGTATGTTCTTTTAAGATTCTAAATTGCAGCAGAGTTGCTTCTAAAGCTGGGTTTTACCATCAGTACCTTAAGGCCAAAACGGCGTATTAGCACAATTACCCTAAAAAGGCCCTCACATTTCTCATAAAATACAACACAGATAGCTTTGTATAAACAATTCTGACGGCAACATATACGTATGTGTGCATACAGCAACGCACAGAGATATAAGATTGCAAAGTGTGTAGAGTGGAATTTTACAGAATCTTTAGTTATGTGAAAGGGACAGATGGCTGCCTGGATTTGGAGAGATCAAGTTAAATGAGTACATGATGTCTAATAAGAAAGTTGGATTTCTAGTCTCTCTCAAAAAGCGGTAAACAACAAAAACCATAATAAACAAAAAACAGACGACCTAGTATCCCTAGGGCCCACCTTCCCACGAGGCAGCAATCGGCTGGGGCCAAGAAGTAGCTGCCCCTTTAGACAGGGCATGAGCACTCCGGCTAATGGGGGCCAGCCCCATGCACTAATGACATCACCTGCCTGGCCCCTGTCGGCATCTGAGATTGCACCCCCTGGTGGAGAGTCCCGGGTGGTGAGAACGGTTAATAACACTTGGCTGCTAATCAAAAAGTTGGAGGTTCGAGTCTATCCAGAGGCACCTCAGGAGAAAGGCCTGGGGATTTACATCAGCTACTGGAAACCCTATGGCACGCAGTCCTACTCTGACACACATGGGGTTGCCGTGAGTCGAGCTGGCTCGATCGAAATCATTACTCCCTCTTCCTAGATTGCTCTTCCCCCAGACCTTCGTGTAGCTGACTCCTTCTTGCCAGTTAACCCAAAAAACAAAACCTGCTGCCGCCGAGTCACATCCGACTCACGGGGAGCCTACATTTATAGAACAGAAGTGCTGCTCCATAGGGTTTTCTTGGCTATACTCTTAACAGAAGCTGAATGCCAGGACTTTCTTCCGCAGTACTGCTGGATGAGTCTGAACAGCTAATCTTTAGGTTAGCAGTCGAGCGTAATCTGTTTGCACCACCTAGGGACCTTCTTGCCAATTAGGTGTCAGCCGAACTGTCACCTCTGTAGAGGACTTCCTTGTCGACACAATCCAAAATAGACGCTTTCCCTACCCCCATGACGGCACCTTCTTAATTTTCATCCAAGCCCTTATCATGGCCTGATGGTGTATATTTAGTCAGCGGTGCCCCTCCATATAAGCAGTGACCTTGTCGGTGGCTCACCTGTCCCCCCAGGCCTGGCACAGGGCCTGGCACAAAGCAGGCACCCGATGTGTATTTTTGGATTGAATGAATGACCTATAGTGTCTGTGGGGTGGGCAAGGAGGGTCTTCATTTGTGTTGGGTCACAGGCCTACACACATTTTCATTTTGGAGGGTGGTCGAAACCCCCCACCGCCTGCCAAGAGCCTCCACTCCACTAGGAACGAGAAGCTTGCTTTACCTGGAGCTGCCTGAGAGCTTTCTGGGTGTGCTCCGGCTTCCTGTACTCCACAAATCCGAACCCCATGGAAAGCAGCGCTCCTGGAAGAGAGATGGAAATCAGCCGGTGAGCGGGAGGGAGGTGCAGAATGAGCACACGGTCAAGAGCAAGGGCTCCGAGGGACTCTGGACCTTGGCGTCATTCCTCTCTTCTTTTCACATTCCTCTTCATCCCCCAAAGATGGAAGCTCCTGGCTTGCCTTTCATTACTAGTCATCCTGAAGAATCAGCCACCGAGGTTACACAGCCGCCACCTGAGGCCTAGCTGACTGTTAATTAATAGATGATTGACATGATAATTAACTTTATAATAGAAATCTGCCTTTGGGAGGGAGCGGGAACTAACAGGGATGACCATTGCTATGACAAGCATCCAAACCTCTACGTAGGTAGTCCCTGCTTCCACATATAATGCGTAACATGAATATATGCATAGAAGTCAAACACCCAAAGACCAACTCTTCATGAGTATCGCTGGCCATCCAATTACGGTCGGTTCCTGAGTTTCAGACAGAAAGTTCGAGAGGGAGGGCTACTGCATTATTCGAACCTACCTGGTTTCCTGCTTCTAGGTAGTGAATAGCGAGAGTTCAGGTAGCAAGGAACATTTCCAAATTTTATTGTAAACGTTTGGTTCCTAACTTCCGATATGTCTGTGTGCGTGCGTGCGTGCGTGCGTGCGTGCGTGTAAACAAAAATAATTGGTGGGGGAGGGGGAGAGGAGTCCTTTCACAGGAACTAAAACCTGTAAGATCTCTGATTACACCTCACGAGGCAGCGGTGGTTCACTGGAAGAACTCCCGCCCTCGTGTGCAAGATTCCCAGCCAGTGCACTTCACGTGCAGCCGCCCTCCCATCTGTCGGTGGGAGGTTTGCGTGTTGCTATAATGCTGAACAGGTTTCAGCAGAGCTTCCAGACCAGAACAGACTAGGAAGAAAGGCCTGGTGATCTACTCCCAAAACTCAGCCAGCGAAAACCCTATGTTTGATCTTCAGCTGATTATGGTGACGGCACAGGAACTCGTTCCATTGTGCCCGGGATTGCAATGAGTCGGGGCCAACTCGACGGCAGCTAACAACGACAATTACATTTTGCCTTTTTTGACACAGAATTTGCTGCATCTCCCCCTTCTGCCCTGCATTTCATACAAATTTGTTATTTTTATTCTGTATTTTTTTCACAGTTGAACTTGCAGAGGACTGGCTTAAGTCTAACGGGTTCAAAAGACTCTCCACCTCTGACGCTCTTAGTGGTTCCCCCTTTGCCCCCTATGTACTAACTGTGAGACCTGGGGCTCTTACCACTACCTGCTTGCTTGCATTCCCATTCACAACCCAGTGCTATAAAACAATGAGGGCCAAATGCGGAAGAAATTCCATTAACTGCTCAAACGTGGTTCTGTTGGCCAAGGGAGGCAGGTTCAAACAGAACTGTTGGTTGACGGGCAGCGCCACCCTGTGGTGACTTTAAGTGTTTGTTGTTCAGCTGCTAATTAGAAAGCTTGTATTGGGCTCAAGGTTGTGAGCTGGTGGGGGTGGTGTCTGTGTATGATATTGAAACATGCATGCAGACTGCATAAGAGGCCACTGTAAGAGAGTTAAGTTCACCTCCCCAGTCAGTGGCACTCTCTGCCCTTCTATGTCCTGGAGGCGGCCCCCCGCAGAGCACTGCCCTCTGGTTTCCTGCTGGGTTTAGCCAATGGGAAGCTCAGATCTGAGACTGGCGGGTGCAGGAGAGAGAGGCTGGGGTCCTGATTCCTTCCATTCCCCCCCACTCCCTTTGGCATGGTTCTAGCAGTGAATGTGTGAGAACTGTACCTTCTGTTCTGGCTGGCAGCCCTCCTCCCGCAGCTCCAGTCCTCAGCCCGCTCCACTCGCACGTTCCCTCCCAGGCGCCTCTGGGCTCAGCAGGGCGACTGGGGTTCCACCTGCAGGCCCTGCTGCACGGCATTCCCCACAGGTGCCCTGAGCTCAGCCCACATCTTCATTACACACACCTCTTCAAAGCCCCGAGCGGAGTGCTCGCTCTGCTCTGCTGCCACCTGACACAGGTGCCGTCTAGATTCCCCCCGCCGGGGGTGGATAAGCTCAGGGAGCAGGGCTCGCCAAGGGAGGCCCCGGAACACCAGGGTGTGTGCTTTAAGAGTTGCTCACTACACTAAGACATCAGATCACTCTTTTTAAAGCAGTTGTCAGAGTGCCCCCTGGCTCCACAGGGTGTCTGATTGCAGAGTGACCCTACTCCCACAGGGCCAGGCCCGGCTGGCGCTGGTGACACCTCAGCCCACTGGCCTGGGCGCCAACTCTGCCCAGCCTTACTCACCCCTAGACTTCAAGGATTACTTCCCTCCTGAGCCTCCTGCAGCTCATCCTTCCTATCAGGGACTCGGTACTTAGCTGCCTTTTCTCGTGTCCCACACGCAATTCAAAGCTCCTGGCAAACAAGAGCAACAACAAAAACCTAATCCATTGCCATCGAGTCAGTTCCAACTCATGGCAACCCCTTGTGTGCAGAGCAGAACTGCTCCATAGGGTTTTCAAGGCTGTGACCTTTCAGTAGCAGATCGCCAGGCCTTTCTTCTAAGGCACCTCCGGGTGAGTTTGAACCGCCACTGTTTGGTTCGTAGTTGAGCGCAAACCATTTGCACCACCCAGGGAGAACAAGCACTCCATCACTCCTATGTCACACACCTGCTTAAAACCCTCCATGGCTCCCTGCCACCTCTTGGAAAAAAGCCCTAACTCTTCAGCCTGACATACATACCACTTTGATTTGGAACCTGCCTACTTTCCCAGGTGCTTCTCCTGCCTCCACATACTCGTCGCTCAGCCAGGCTGGTCTCTGCAGCCCGCTCCTGCCTCCTTCCCGTGCACAGTCCCTGCTGTCCTTCAAGCCCCAGTCTGGCCTGGAGACTCCTGTGCTGTGCTCCTGAACCACCAGGACACCGCTCAGCACTGTCCCATAACCACCATCTTATTTGTCTCTCCAACTAGACTGAGCATTTTGTGAGCGCGGACTGTGTCTTCTTCAGTCCTGGGTAACCAATACAGTGTTCTCCACCTGGCGGCCCCCAGAACTGTCTGAGGAGTAACTGAGCAGTAGAACTCTCGGCAAGGAGCCCTAGTGGTGTAGTGGTTAAACATTTGGCTGCCAACTGAAAGGTCAGTGGTTCTAACACACCAGCGGCTCCGTGGGAGAAAGACGCGGCAATCTGCTTCCGTAAAGATCACAGCCTTGGAAACCCTATGGGGCAGTTCTACTCTGTCCTATAGGGTGGCTATGAGTTGGAATCAACTCAATGGCAATGGGTTAAACCTCTGGGCCACACAGCACTGTGTACCTAGGAGGAGCTCAGGATACAGCGAAGGGCTGACCCATGGAGCATCCCTACAAAGGGCTCGGGACAGGGGCTGCATGGCTGTGAAAACACACAGACTTATCCCCTTTCCACTGTCTTCAGGAAGCCAGGGCAGAGAAGCGCCCAACAGTGTCAAGCCTGCCTACCCACTAAATCGCCCTGCTCTGAAGCCACCTCTGATGGGCTAAGGTGGCAAAGACATGCAGAGACTCAGAAGAACCTGACATGCATGGCTGCTTCTCCTGACAGTCAAGGGTCTCCAGGGACGCAGAAGGGCCCTTTCAGACAAGCCACACGGGAGTTTCGGGGTGCTGCTGCTTCAACAACAAAAGATGACCTTCGAACAACTCGGAAAAAAAGGAGGGTGAGAATGGCCGCACAGCCTGAAGAATGTAATCAATGTCACTGACTGGTATCTGTAGAAATTGTTGAACTAGTGTACGTTCTGCTGTGTGTATTCTCAATCACAAAAATAAATTATTTTTTTAAAAAAAGAGAACCTTTGAAATAAACAAGCGAGAGTCACCGCTCCCCACAGTGATCCAAAGCTATATGGTTTCTCTCGGAATCTGTGCTTTCTGGCTTAGGTTTCAGAGACAATTACCTGCTTTGTTCTTCTTTTTGGAAATCGAGCAGCTCTTCACCATTCCCACTTTGGAAAACACCTGGAAAAGAAGGTCAACACGTGTCAGCAGCATTTCCAGGCTAATCCTGCCACCTGTGTGGCCACATCTTGAAAGACAGAGGCCGTGCATCTGACCACAGGCACACAGAGGCAGGAATAGAAGCACATCTACCACAGGGGCTGTGCTCGCTGAGGACCGGGCCTGCCCTAAGCCCCTTCCCTGCATTACCTCATTCAGTCCTCACAGCCACCCTCTGAGGTTGCATTCAGGCTCCAGAGCCCAGGCTCTTAACCACCACGCAGGTAAGGGCCCTGGTCAGACCCTGTGGCCCCCAGATTTGCTATACCACCTCGGGGTCCCCAAACAATTTCAAAGCACTGGATGATGGCCTACTTTAAGAAACTTGGTCGGTCCTTTAGAGTTCCCTGTAGCAACAAGTGGGCTGGCTTCTTGCTCCAGTTATAGAGGAAGAAATGAGGGCACAGAAGAGTCGAGAGATTTACTAAGGATCACGCGACAGGGAAAAAAAAAAAAACCAAACTTGCTGCCATCGAGTTGATTCCGACCCATAGAGACCCTATAGGGCAGAGAAGAACTGTCCCATATGGTTTCCAAGGAGCAGCTGGTGGATTCAAACTGCTTACCTTTTGGTTAACAGCGGAGCTCTTAACCGCTATGCCACCAGGGTTTCCAATAGTGAAGCCAGGTGTAAATTTGAAAATACAGAATTTTCTGACCCCCTATCCTGACCCTTCTCACTGCCCCCTGCACCTAATGCAAAAATAATTTAAATAAAAAATTCCAAAGTCACTCCTTGACTTCAGGGATTACTTCCTTTCCTGAACCCCCCTGCAACTCAACCTTCACACCATTGACTTGGTACTCAGCTTTCTTTCCTGGTGTCCCAAACTCAATTCCAACTTCCTGGTGAACAAGAGTAACAAAAGCACCCATACTCGTTGCCATCCAGTCAATTCTGACTCAAGGTGACCTCTGCGTGCAGAGTAGAACTGCTCTATAAGGTTTTCAAGGCTGTGACCTTTCAGTAGCAGATTGCCAGGCCTTTCTTCCAAACACCTACTCCATGTTCCCAGTTCTTTCTCCCTCTGCCCAGGGCAGAACCTGTGTCTGTCTTGTTCGCTGCTGTTTTCAGAACCACAGACAAGGCCTGGAGGAGGGCAGGAAGAGGAACCAGGGGGGCAGGAGACTCCTGAGGAAGACGCTGATACACAAACACTGGCGAATACTAAATCAACACTAGAAGCAGCAGCGTTTACAGGGCTCTTATACGCCAGTGTTGTTGGAAGATGCTACCGAGCTCATTCCAACTCATGGCGACCCCGTGCGTGCAGAGTAGAACCGTGCTCCACAGGGTTTTCAAGGCTATGACCTTTCAGAAGCAGATCATCAGGTCTGTCTCCTGAGGTGCCTCTGGGTGAGTCTGAACTGCCAACAGTTCGGCTAGTAGTCGAGCATTTAACCATCTGTGCCACCAAGGGCCTCCTCTTATATGCCAGGCACTGTGTCAGATGCTTCACTGGGATTATTATCTCATTCCTCCTAATTGAATCTTCAAGAGTCTAAGAGTAGGTGCTATTAACACCCCCATTTACAAAGGGAGAAAATGAGGCACAGAATGGATAAAGGTCTGGCCCAACGTCATGACGTTAGCAAGGAGTGAAGCCAGGAACCGAGCCCAGCACTCTGATCCCTCACCAATGCTCTACTCTCTAGAGCTTCTAGAGAGTGCCTGTAGCAGCTGTGTGGCCTCAGGAAAGTGAACTGGCCTCTCTGAAGCTCGGTCCCCACTCCTGCAGTATGAAGAAACTGGCGTAGATAATTTTGGCTGTACCTTCCAGCTCCAGAATTGTTTAATTTGGAGGATGCTCTTAGGCTGACGGTTGGGCTCCCGGGAAACAATGACTCCTGATCATGATGTGCCCATTTCAGACCCAGAGAGCCAGCACACCAGGGTGTGTTGGGGGAAAACCTGCTGGCTGGTTTGACATATTCAAAGCTATACACCCTTTGGACACTACTAGCGTGTGCCTCTGTTTAAAAACACAACACAAACTGATTCAGGAAGGAGCCAAAGGAAAGGCGAAGGCTGGACTTCCAGTTGCTCAATGAAGAGAATCTTCCCTCGTGACAATGCTGCTGTGTCTGGCCAGGTTACGTCTGCTGCCGTGCTGGCTGGCAAAGAGGCAGTCACGCCACAGGGCCTTAGCCAGGGTGGTCTCAGAGTGGCAGCTCTGACCTCGTGCCTCACCCCCACCCCAATCTTTTCCTCCAGATACACGCTGGGCGCCTTCCCATCACACCGCGTTCTTGACTCCACGGTTCAGAGGACACTGTCTTCCCTCCTGAACCCATCTACAGAATCTTAGAGCTCAATCCTTATGTCCACTTTTCTTCCCAGAGGCAGCTCATGGCTGTCAACCTGCTACCATCCATTTGCTCACTACTCACTCACTCATTCATTCACTCATTCAAAGAAGTCGGTGCAGTGTTTTATTCTTTGCAAATCCCCGCTTACAGAAATGAAGAGTCTCCCCCATAGGGAAGTCCCACAGTGTGGGAGCTTGCAGACCCCAATCCTCTATGCCCATGGACCCCTGCAGCACACGGTGGGAGCAGAAGTGGAGGCCCAATTCTCTCTAGAAGCCTCAGCCCCTACTCCTTTGGCTCTTACCAAACACCTACTCCCCGTGCCCTCTTCCCATAAATGGAGAAATCTCACCCACCTAGGGCTCCTGGAGACACACGCACCAACGTGTCTCCTACATGTCCCCTCTAGCCGGGAGGACTTGATGACATTCGCTTTTGGGGCGTTTCCATCACGGATACAATTTGGGGGATGTGTTCTGTAAATATAGAATCCTAACACTGCCTATAGCTTTTTCCAGTTCCCATGCTTCGCCAGACATGCTGATGCGCCCCCTTCCTGCCCCCCAGGCTGGTCTTGCTGCTGCTCAGGTCTCTGGTTGAGGGGTCAACTGTACAGACGTGAAGGAGGTGTCTGCTGGTCATTGTTAAACTACGTGTGATATTGAGTCACCTTCTAGGTCATGTTTAAAGGCAGAATAAAGGCAGTGAATACGAGGTGTCCCATCCCACACCCCAGCCCTTCCTCCCAGCTGACACATCACTCACGTCCTTCAGTGTTGCCTCTGTTGTGTCGAAGTTGAGATTTTTAATAAAAAGAGTGCACCCTGGAAGGCTCTCTTCTTCCTCCTCCTCCTCCTCTTCTTCCATCTTTGCCGAAGAGTCATCTTCTCCCCCGGCTGCTGGCTTTTCAACTTCCGGGGTCTCACTGTCTGGTACTAGAGCGCCCCCCCAACAAAAAAACAAATCCATTAGATGATGTCTGATCCCCGAAAACGGACTCCAACATACCAACGATCGTGAAGATGGCGCAGGACCCAGGAACCTTGCGTTCTGCTGTGCAGCATGTTGCCGTGAGTTGGAGCCAACTCAGCAGCTAACAACAACCATCCGCCTAAGTCCCAGGGCCTAAAGCACAGAACCTGCTAGACCAAGGGGGTCCCACCTCTGTCAGCAGCATCGGAAAAGGATACTGCAGTTCTCAACTTGTGCTGGGTTTCAGGAATTCTGGAGAGACAGACAGAGAGAGAGAGAGACAGAGACACACACACAGAGAGAGAGAGAGAGAGAGAGAGAAGCTGTCCTGTGCCACCTCTGTTTTAAAGGGGAAGGGATATGAAACAGCCTTAAATTGGACGAAACCACAATAACTGGAACTCCAAAATAAGTACTACGTGAACTGTTTCATCAAACCATGACTCTAAGCAAAATATGTTATTTTTCCTGGAAAAAAACAAAAAACAAATAAAAAAGCCCCCTAGCACTTAGTGAACTTTCAAGCTAAAAGAAGAAATAACTTAAAACTTTTCAAAGGCTACAAATCGAGAGCAAAACTTAGATCGTTCCCAATACCCCTTGAATCTAAGAGCTATTACATCCATTAAAATCCCCAGTATACCATGGAGCAGTTCATGGCGTATATACATAAGACAGTGTGGTTTTATCTATACACAAAGTATTAAATTCAAGTTACGTATAACAGTGAAAAATACAACAACAACAGTGCTAGATACTCAGAGCAGAAGGTTAGGAAAGTGACAAAGGCGGAATAATGTAGCCATTAAAAATGATGTTCCCAAACAATGTTTAATGATGATGCTTACGAGATACAAAATTAAGATACAGTACTTAATGTACGCTATAATTCTAATTGCATTCTGTACACATAATTTATAAGAAACACATGTGCACTCAGACACACGTGAGAAGAGATAATCAGGACCACGTTATACATTTCCTTCCGGCTATTTCTGGAGAATAGGATTATAGGTGGTTGGAGCTTTCTCCTGTCAGATCTACCCCTTTGTACCATTACTACCTGAAGGAACAGCATTTTAGGGAGAGGGAAGAGCAAATGTGAAGCTGTGAGTTATGCAGGGCAGCGGGGGCTGGAGTGCAGGGAGCCAGGGCGGAGGGGGCAGAGCTGAGATGGGCGGGTTCTCAGGGGCTGAACAGGCCAACCCTGCTAAGAGTTTGGACCTCATCCCAGGATGCCGGAAGCCTTGCAGGTTGTGGGCAGGCGATGCCATGACCTGAGAAGCCCTGCTGTGAGGAAATATATTCAATCTGGTTCCTCCCACAACTTCCCCAAGTCACATGACCAGAGTCTGGGCACAAACCCCCCTCCGGAGAGAAAGCCTCTGAAGTTATGTCTGTCTCCCACAGGAAATAAAAACCTGTCTCAGCAATTCTTCAGAGCAGTCTTCAGACTCCTCACGTCTGAGCAGTTGGCCACCTCCATCCTTGAGGAGTTAAACCCTGCGCACCCCAGCCAGCAGAGGCCCCAGGAAGCAGCTTTTAGAGGTCCCAGGGGCGGTCCTGACCACAGGGTGGATGGAGACAATCACTTCTCCCACACACCAGTAACCAGTTGTCTTTGACTCAACTACTGACTCTTGGAGACCCCATGTGTACCAGAGTAGAACTGTGCTCCTTAGGGCTTTCAAGGGCTGATTTTTCGGAAGTAAATTGCCAGGCCCTTCTTCCGAGGCAACTCTGGGTAGACTCAAACCTCCAAGTGCATTAACCGTTGGCATCACACACCTTCACTCAAACAGTTCAAATGTACGTATGACCCAAAGGGGCTTCTTAAGGTTGCAGTCCAACCCAGTGACTCTCAACGCCAGGCAACAAAGTCGTTCCCCTGCCCTTTCTGATACAGGCCTGATGCTTTCAAGTCCTAGTTAAGCTTCAACTGCTTTGTCATAAAACAACCCTTTGAAGCCCTTTTGAGCTACAGTGATAATGCTGTCTCTTGAACATCAGTTGAACATGCGGCCTTGCACCCCTGGCTCTCCCTTGGGGGTGACCACAGACTCCCACAGGACAAAAAGGAAAAATCGACATAAAGGCCCCTCCCCCACTAAGACAGGAACACAATTTCCCCAACAAGGGACTCCATGGTGTGGCCATTTGTACTCAAAACCCAACTTTCAAAGCAAAGGGGGGTGGACAAAGTATTACTAATGACTGGGAAGAAAAGCTATGCAAAGCAGTTAAGATCAGGTCCTGAATGAGAACTTCAATGGAAAGCATAAATATGACCTTCAGGGGGAACGGTATTTCCATCCACTGGCTCTCTCTGGCATTCAGCATTCTGGAGATGAAAAAAGAAAGGAGGCGACCCCACTGGACCACCCCTACGATGTGCCAGGCACTTTGGTGGACGCCTTAACTATACCAGTAAAAACCAGCTGCAGTCCAGTTGACTCTGACTCCTGGAGACCCTACGTGAGTCAGAGTAGAACTGTGCTCCATACAGTTTTCAATGGCTGAGTTTTCAAAACTAGATCACCAGGCCTTTCTGTCAGCCTTTCAGACAGCAGCCTTGTAACTGTCCACACCACCCAGGGACTTGGCCTTAACTATACTATCTGCTTAATGACCACAGAACCACATGACACAAAATGGGCACCCAGGGAAGTCTCGGTGGGCAGCTGCACTGGAACCCTAAGTCTCAACCATCTTCAGTTGGTGAGAGGTTCACCAGAGACTAAACCAAACCAAACCAACACGTTGCTGTTGATTCCAACTCATAGCGACCCTATAGGACAGAGCAGAACTGCCCCATAGGCTTTCCAAGGAGCAGCTGGTGGATTTGAACTGCTGACCTTTTAGTTAGCAGCCGAGCTCTTAACCACCACCAGGGCTCCATCCTCTGGCCAGGGGCCTGCAATCCAGATGGTTCCAAGAAGCCTCACAAAGACACAGCTGCGGGGAGACCAGACTCAACCCCACCATGACGTTTGGGTTTAGTGTTGGAGCTGAGGTACTGTTGGCCAGCACCCCAGGAACAGATGAACCCCTGCTCTGGTGAGTCAGTCACCTGAACCCCAGCCCAGGAAGAATGAGTGAGGGGACTGAGGGGCCTTGTGCCAGACTTGGGGGCCCAAGACTATTAGCTGGGAGTTCTGGCTGGCCTGGCTCCTCCCACTTCTAATAAACCAACCAACACTCCAAGCGGGGCAGCACAGCCAGGTGGGAGGAACATCTTGCTTCCTCCAGGAGCACAGGCCCTGGCTGCCTCCAGAGACATCTGTTCTTTCCCTCACCTCCCTGTACCTGTGAGCCCCCCTGGGAAGCTGAAAGAACTCGCAGGGCGAGGGCGCCACAGTACTGAGAGAGACCTGCTGACAAACGGGGCTCGATGGACAAGTCACCCTCTCTCTGCTTCCTTCTTTCCATCTAAAAAGGGGACGATAATAATAGTGCCGAGGTGCAAGGCTGAGTCTGAGAATAACTTCACAGATATCTGCTAGCACCGCGCCTGGGCCAGGGGTGTTGTTGTTAGCTGCCTTGGAGTTGGCTTTGACTCATGGCGACCTTAAGTATAACAGAATGAAATGCTGCCATGTCCCATGCCATCTTCACAACCACTGGTACGAGCCTCTGGTAAGTAACAGTGTTATTATTCCTAACATCACCCCTCCTGCCCACACGGCCCAGCCAGGCTGGATGAGAAACCCAGGGCAAACGGTCACAAATCCCTAATCCTGCGGCAAGGAGAGATAAGACAAGCCAGAGCAGGGAGCCCACAGCTCTGTTCTAGCTTCTCCCTACAGAGGGCTGCCTTGTGCAGGCTCCTGAGAATAGCCGGCCCCGCACCTCTGAGTCTGAGCACCCCGGCAACCATGTTCCTGCTACACCCAGACAAGGACGTGGCTCCTTGGAAAGAGCTGCCGCTCCCCGTGGGGCCAGGCCAGGCCCTGCTGTGCCCACACCTGCGTTCAGGGAGGGGCGGAACCCAGGTGCGTCAAGGTGATGGGACCGAGGGCACTGGATAAAGCACCTCTGCTCCCAGCCCCACAAGGGGAGACCAAAGAAAATCTAGAGAGAAAAACAAGGTGTTGTGAAACTCACACAGATGTTCGCCAACAGAACCATCAGGAAGCAGAAAAAGAAGGAAGTAAGAAAGGAAGCTGGGCTGCGCCGGGGGCGGGTGGGGGCGTTTAAAGCAAGGTGCAATGGAAGGAGGTGGGGGAGCAGGGGAGAAGGCGCTTCCATCTGTGGTTCGCATAATCAAATCCAGTCACGCAGAGCCGCATGGCAGAGCCCGCACGGGGCTTTATTATAATCAGGCCACAGAATTTCCCGCGGCACCCTCCTCTCCACCAGCTCACGGTGCGGAGGCTGACAGCAAAGACTGTTATCAGTTGCAAGCAGCTTTCCAGGACCTCCCCCTATTTGGAGCCCTTTATCTGGAGGTGAGGGTCTTGGTTGTGGGGAGATAAAACACGCTGTCCCCTTCCCTTGAGACGGTGCAGAGAACAGGAGAGCTTTCCAGAAAGGAAGGGGGTGGGGTGACAAAAAGCTAAGTCCACTCTCCCTTCATTCTCTCCTTCGCTTCCTCCCTCCTCCCCCCCTCCCTCCCTCGCAGGAGACCCGGAGCCTGCTCATCCCAGTGATGGGGAGTCAGATCCAGGGAAGCAGGAACAATGCGAAGAGGACAGGGTGGGAAGCAGGTGAAATGGAGCCACATGGGGCACCAAGGTGTGGAAGAGAAGGACCAGTAAGGGCACCAAGGGGACCTTGAGGTGGGCTCTGAGGGAATTCACCCAGCGTGGGGCTCAGCAGGGCCTGAAAGGAGCACAGACAGCTTCCAGATCCCAACCTGGGCTGGCCACTGGGCCACTCCTTCTGGCCCTGAGGCCGCCTTTGTGTTGAGTCACAAGCTGGCCCCTCTGAGATGTAGGGGCTTTCGAGAAACACGTGGGGCTGAGAAGGTGAGAAGGGAACCTGGGGCCTAGGGAACCAAGGGTATTGGGGGTGGAGTGGGAACATGCTTTAACCCCAAGAAGCCCCTCTCTCTGTGCTCCACAACATTCTACACCCTGGGGCCACTTTTATTACTGCCTGTGACACCTCAGCTGTTTCCCCCACTAGTACGGAGCTCATGGGGAGGAGGGTCTGGGTGGAACTCGTCTTGGTCACCCCAGCTCAGTGTCTGGCATGAAGCTGGAGCTCAGTTAGAAACCACCCACTCTGGCTTATGGTGCTGAATTAACAAAAGCATTAGTGTCACAGTGATCCAGAGTCCCCGGGCAGTGCAAATGGTTAAACGCTTAACTAGCCCAAAAGCTGGCTGCTGAACACACCCAGAGATGCCTCAAAAGAAAGGGCTGACAATCGCTCTACTCTGCACAGGTGGAGTTGCCACCAGGTGGAATCGACTCAACAACAACTTTTTTTTTTTTGGTTGAATAGTGATTTACACACCCAACTCACTATATCCTCCTCAAAGCCTTAAGAGATAAGGAGGTAGCTTGCCCAGTCAGAGCTAGGCGAGTATAACAAGGGCCGCTTCCCAGGAGTCACTCGGCAATTTCCCCAGGAGCTCTAGACCTTATGTTACAAGAAATGCAAAGTGTGCAGCACAGGGCTGGGCACGGAAAATGACGCTCTGACCCTTGGATTCACTCAGAATGCACTCACTGGGCTCCTATGAGGCGCCAGGTGCTCCCTGGGTGCAGGGGATACAGCAGTGAGCAAGTGAGATAAGGTCTCTGCCACGCAATGGACATTCTAGTGAGGGGGACAGACAGACAGGAATTGCTCATAACGCAACACCAGCTGTAATAAGCGTTTGAAACGAGACAAACAGTAAGGGGAGGGGGTAGGTATAAATAAATGCCCATAAATGAGAGCTGCTACTATTACTGTGGTTGATACTGTTGTTATCACCACTGCTCGTGTTCTGAGGCTGGGCTAACAATGGAAAACTAACCTCCAAACATACTAAGCACCTATTATGTGCTGGGAGTTCCCTGGGTGGTACAGTTAACACACTCAGCTGCTAAATGAAAGGCTAGGGGTTTGAGTCCACTCAGAGACACCTCGGAAGAAAGGCCTGGCAATCTGCTTGTGAAAAACCAGTCATTGAAAACCCTATGGAGCGTAGCTCTACCCTGACACCCATGGGTTCACCATGACTCAGAGTTAACTCAACAGCAACTGGTTTACTGGTTACTATGTGCCAGAAGCTTGACAGTCAGACAAGTAAGGCCCAGCCCTGACCTCTCAAAGGTAGAGAGAGCGACACAGAATCCATTCTTCATTAATTCACTCCCTCCCTCCACACATATTCACGGAGCATCTACTCTTTGCCAGGTGTCTCCCGGGGTGCTAGGCACAAAGCGGTAAACAAGACAGCCCCATTCTTTGCCCTTGCGGTTCGCAGTCTACCAAAGGAGACAGATATTAAACACAAAAGACACAAATGAATAGACAGAATAAATATACAACGCAACCAATGTCACAGAAGAACAGAGTGAAAGGACGAGGTCACCAGGCACATGAGCACGGCCATCTCAAAGCAGTCACCTTGGGAAGGCCCACAGCAGGCTGGAGAACTGCACTGCGTTTGCTTTCAGGTCCCTGTGTGGTGCAAATGGTTAAGCGTTCACCTGCTCACTGAAAGGCTGGCAGTTCGAGTCCACACAGAGGTGCTCTGGAAGAAAGGCCTGGTGATCTGCTTCCGAAATGACACAACCTGGAAAGCCCTATGGAGTAGTTCTGCTCCATGCACATGGGGTCACCATGAGTCTGAAATGACTCATTGGCGACTGGTCTGGTTTTTTGGATTGGGTTTGTTTTCAGGGCCTGCCGTGTCCTCAGGGCCCCTCAATCCTGGCAGAGCTTCGTGCTTTAAAGGTGGACTGGCTATTGGCTAAAAAGTTACTACTCAGATTCAGGGGTAGTTAATGCAGTGACGACCAAGGTCGGGGATGATTTCAGGGGGGTAGCCAGTTAAGAAGAAAGCATGACTACATAAAGAGAATTATTTTTGATGGGAACAGACATAGGGTGTGAAGGGAACCCTAATCCAACCTGCAGACAAAACTAACTCATAGACAGGGGCCTGGTGAGGGACTTCTGAAGGGTTTTATACCAACATTTGTTAACCCCAAGAACTAGGGATTGTTTTTGAATCCCCAAAGCGCAAAGAGACTGATGCAGTTTGCACTCCAGTTGGGACAATTCTCCAGATCAGTAGTCCCCAAATGCCTTGTACCAACGAGGCTGGTCCTGAAGGTTTAATCATCTCAATGAAATGAGAAATGTGGACAAACTAGGGAGGTTTCCATACCGAGAATTCTCTCCAATTGAAAGGACTGTTCTTTAATCTGAGAATTTTGCTCCTTGATTCCCAGCTTTTTTTCTTCTTCTTTTTAATAAAACACCCTTTCTTTTATGAGATCAATGGAGATGGCAGATGGGGGAATGATTATTATCTGCCTTGTTTTTGGTAATTCTTATTTAATTAACTAAACAACTAGTAACCCAGTTGGGGGCAAGTGGGGGATATTACTGGTGGGCAGAATCTTAAAAGTCTGGGTAAAATGACCTCCGTGGTCCTTTTCAACTTTCTTAAAAGTCTTTGATTCTAAGACATGGTCATGGTCCCCAGGCTAAGAGGTTCTCAATTGGGGATGGCAACACCTCCAGGAGGCATCTGAGAATACCAAAGACTGGGGCCACACCTGACATTCAATGAGTGGGGGCCAGGGACGCTAAATGTCCCGTAATCTGCAGAACAATCTAGAACAAGGAACAAGGAAGAGTTGCCCAAATGTCAATAGTACCCCCCCTACCCGAACTGTGAAACATTAACAAAGGGGTGGGGGTGGCCCTGTCTGGCCCTAGGGCCCATGCTTCCCATTCCTTACTATCTTTTCAGTCAATGGACACCAGAAGGCGCTGTGCCGTTCCAAGGACTCTAAAAAAGCCACCCCTAAACCACAAAGCATCCTGGTCAGTATATGAAACGACATACGAAACCACTTGTTCTGGTGGCACGATGGTTAAAGTAAATGACTGCTAACTGAAACGTCAGTGGTTTGAAACCACCAGCAGCTCCATGGGAGAAAGACATGGCAGTCTGCTTCCATAGAGATTTATGGCATTGGAAACCTTATGGGTCGCTATGAGTCGGAATCAACTCAATGGAAGTGGGTTTGGTTTTTGGGTCTGGTCTGAAGCCCTATTAACAGATTTTGTTGTTGTTGTTGTTGTTAGGTACCACTGAGTCAGTTTCGACTCAGCAACCCTATAGGACAGAGAAGAACTGGCCCATAGTGTTTCCAAACAGTGGCTGGTGGATTTGAACTGCCGACCTCTCGGTTAGCAGCTGAGCTCTTAACCACTATGCCACCAGGGCTCCATTAACAGATTCTAGTTTTGTTTTTATTAGTACCTTTAACTGATAAACTAAAAAGTCAGCTACCCCATGTTGCAATCCTAATTTTTATGCTCTATTTTTTAAAATTTTACATACCTATAAAATCCAAGAGTCTGAGCCTCACTGCTCTACAGGATGAAGAACTTCAAGCCAAACACCTATAGACAATTCCGTGCAGGCCCTCGCCCTCCTGCCTCGCCTCGCCCGCTCTGCCCCCCGACATTCCAAGCTCAGACGCAGCTCTTACCGGTTTCTGGGTCCGCCTTGTCCGTATCCACTGCTGCATCCCTGGGTTCTCTTTTCTGCGGGTCTGAGCTGGAGAAGACACCCATTGGAGCCCATTCCAGATACAGGGGGACGTGGTGAAACTGCAGAGACAGGGGAACTGGCGTGTGAGTCCTCATCACAGGCCCCAGCACAGCCTGAGGCTGGGGAGGGACTTGGTCCCACTTAAAAGATGAAGATTCTGAGGGTCAGAGAGTATGGGTGACTCATCCAGGGGACAGAGCTGGAAGGAGGAGGAGCAGGGCCTAGAACCCTCCATGCTGCCTAATCCTGAAACAACACTTGGGAGCCTTTCTGCATCTCGGGGCCCAGGAAGAGGCCACGTCTCTGTTGTCATTGCACATAGGGCAGCTTCAAGGCCCTCATTGTGTTTCATCAGCATGAAATGGGGAGTGAGATGATGGGAGATAAGAGCCCCTGATAAAGGACAGCTCTCCTGGAGGAAGCGTAGGACGGTGGCTACGAGAACAGGCTTTCTCTCCGTATTGACGCACTCTTATGCAAGGAGCTCTGCTGGCACAACAGTTAAGCACTTGGCTGCTAACCGAAAGGTTGGCAGTTCGAATCCACTCGGTGGCTCTGCAGGAGAAAGACCTGATGATCTGCTTCCATAAAGACTGCAGCTGAGAAAACCCTATGAGGCAGTTCTACTCTGTCACATGGGGTTGCTATGAGTTGGAATTGGCACCCAACAGCAACACGTATACACGCGTGTGTGCACGCACTTTAAAGAATAAACTAGATGTTGGTAACAGCTGCCTTATGGGAAGGCACCTGGGTAGCTGCAGGATGGGGAGGAGGGAGACTTGTCAACACATATCCTTTCTGAACCTTTCACAGTTTCATACCACATTCAAGCACACACTTTGGAGTAAGACTGACTGGCTTCCAGAGTTGGCTGCAGCACTTTTTAGCTGTGTGACCTCGGGTGACAGCCTGCCCCTCTCTGGGCCTCAGTTTCCTCATCTGCAAAGTGGGCATGGCAATAACGTGGTTAGGAACAGTCAGGGAAACAGAAGCTGTTCAACACAAACAGAAGGTGTTGCCCAGTAGGTGCTTTCAAATGGGTGCTGTGCCTGTTGTTACACTCTGCTGAGAGCCTCTGGCGACAGGAATTTCCTCCCAAAAGTGCAGCAGAAGGATGGCATCCACACTCTGCTGACGGGATGGTGGGTACCAAATCTGATTCATGGGGTCCCCACACAGAGAACTACTGTACTGGCTCAGGCACTGACTGGCTTCCAGAGAGTCCTGGGCACAGAGCTCCGAGCTGGGGACGATTAATGGGGCTGAGAGGATATGACATCACTGCCCCATCTGCCAGACAGGGACACGGATACTAACATCAGTGGATGGCTAGGGGCCATGGTCTGCAGAGCACTGAAGGGTCTGATAAATAGAAGCTCCTTGTAGTGGGTTGAAGGTGGCCCCCAAAAAGATATGTCTATGTTCTAATGCCCAGAACCTGGGAATGGGACCTTATTTGGAAAAGGTCTTTGCAGATGTCAGTTAAATATCCCAAGATGAGATCAATCCTGGATTATGTGGGTGGCCCTAAACCCAATGACAAGTGTCCTTGTAAGAGACACGCCGAGGAGAGACAGGAAGAGAGAAGAGAAGAGAAGGCCACGTGAAGACAGAGGCAGGGACTGCAGTGATGCAGCCACAAGCCAAGGACGGATGGAGCCAGCAGGAGCTGGGACAGGCAAAGAAGCGTCCTCCCCTAGAGCCTTCAGGGGGGCACGGCCCTGGCAACACTCTGATTTCGGACGTGAGAGAAGAAATTGCTGTTGTTCTAAGCCGCCCAGTTTGTTATGCCACCACAGCAAATTAGTAAACCACTGAATAGTTTGTTTACCAAGAAACAGGAGGGAGCTCTACCTGCAGAACTGACGTCCTGCTTATCAGAGGTACAAGGCATCAAGAGCACCAAGGGTGATGGTGCAAATTCACAGGGGAAAAGAAAGCCAAGCAGCCAGGGTCAGATGAGGAGGCAGCCCTCTCCCGGCAGGATGGTTTGAAGCATCCCTCTCACGTTCCTTCCACCCAGAGTGGTTCGCAGGGTGGCGACGGGAGCAGCAGGGGCAACACTCACAGTCATGAGACAGACGGGTGGTTTCTGACAGCACTACCCTGCCCAAGGCTTATGCTAAGAACTGTTGATGTGTTGGCTCATCTAATCTTCTCCCTTGACTAGGTCTTGCTGGTCCTTTTACAGACAGGCTCTGAGGCTCAGGGCAGCCCTACCTTGGAATAGGCCAGGTGTCGGAAGGCCTTGCGGGCCTCCAAAGGCTCCAGGAACTCCACGATGGCGGTGATGCCACCGTCCGGCAGCAGCACACGGCCCAGGCTGCCGAAACGGCCGAATGTCTCCTGCAGCTCGGCCGCCAGGGTGCCGGCTGGGAGGTTCTTCACCAGCATCACAGTCTTACTTCGTTCTGCTGCGGCCTGTGGGAAGGAAATGAATGTGCACAGATGACAGAAGGAGGGCCCTGGCCGCGACACAGGACGCAGCCCTGGTCTGTGGTTGTCTCCAGACAAGATGCCCCATTTGGGAGTTCAGGAACCTAGGCCCTTTGGAAGCCGACGCAGGAGGACCTGCCCTCTCTGACATGCCACTGCAGGAAGCAAGGGCAGCTTGGTGGAGTGGCTAAGGCGTGGGCTCCGGAGCAGGACCCCGGGGTCAAATCCCACCCTCTCCACTCTGAAGCAGTGGTCGACTTAATCAGTGCCTGACCATACCCTCACTGGACCTCTCAGGGTGCTCCGGCCCAGACTGTCAGTGGCCACAGTCTGCATCTTGGTGCTGAGGGCTTTTCCTGGAACTGCGGTCCGCCTGCTGCCACTTGCAGGCCACGAAACTGACATTCTGTGGGGCAGCCCTCACCCCATGACTCTTGGGAATGGGTGCATCCTTGCCATTTGGGTGAGAGAATTCTGAGGTGGAGTTTTACAAGTTTCCCCCTAGACTAAGCATCAGTTGCCCACTTTGCTAACTAGCTTAACAGCATACCCTGTGCTAGCTTCCTTCCCTTCCCCTTGTCGCTTCCTGCCAGTGTTTTCTGCAAAGCCCAGTGAACTATTTGCTTTGATAAGTCCTGATAAATGTTAGCTACCAGTATGTTTAATCCATCCATCCAACCATCCATTGAACCATCCATCCATCCATCTACCCTCCATCCAGTCTATCACCCACCTACCCATCTATCCACCATCCATCCATCCACTCATCCATTTATCCATCCATCCAACCAACCAACCGCCCATCTATCCAACCATCTTTTCATCCACTCACCCACCCATCCATCCACCCAGCTATTTATCCATCCAGCCAACCAACCATCCACCCATTTATCTAACTATTCATCCATCCATCCAACTATCTATCCATCCAACTAACCAATCACCCATTTATCTAACCATCTATTCATCTACCCATTCATCCACCCATCCATTAACCCACCATCTATCCATCTATCCATCCAACGAATCAACCATACATTTATCCAACCATCTATTCATCCAACCATCTATTCATGCACCCATCCATCAAACCAACCATCTTGAATCCTTGTCTCTGACAATAGATACGTGACCTTGAGAAAAGTACATAACTTTTCTGTGCCTCGGCTCCCTTGTCTGTAACAGAAAAACACAGCACCTATTCCATAGGATCACTCCAGGGAAGGATTTAAGTAAACAGGTTAACACAAGCAAAGTACGTGTAGTAGAAGCATTCTGTAAATGCTACCAGTTATTTTTCGGAAAAAAAAAAAAATTGTTGGAGGGAGTGTAAAAGAGCCACTAAAACATAATGGAAAAATTCCAGGCATATGGACCATCTGGACTTGAGTCTCAACTCAGATACGAATGGCTTTCCCTCTCTGGGACCCAGTTTTCTCATCTGCAAAATGAATTAATGGTAATGTCCAACCTATAGCCTCATAGAGTTGCTCTGAAGATCAAATAAGGTGAGTAGGGTGGAAGCAGTCTGCAAGTGTGAAGGGCTGGGCATCAGGTGGGGTCTTTAGGTGTAATGTAGAGTGCAATAATGAAGGACATTTGAATAACAGCCTGTGTTCAAAACCAGCTCTCCATCACTAACTGTGATCTAGAGCAAGTGACTTCACCTCTTGGTTTTTGATCTCTTCTGTATAATGGCATCACAGTAGTGCTGATCTCATGGGGTTGTTAAGTGAAATGAGTTAATAAAACAAAGAACTTAGAAGACTTACTTTATCAAGTCCTAATAAATGTTAGCTATTAGTATATTTGTTTAATCCCTCCACACAACCAATCATCCATCCATCCACCCAACCAACCATTCACCCATCTATCCATCCATCCACCTCTCCATTCATCCAACCACCTAACCATACATCCAACCCTCTATCCATCACACCATCCATCCATCCAACTCTCTATTCATCAAACCATCCATCCATCCATCCACCCACCCATCCATTTATTCACCTATCCATTTTAACATGAAAATCTAAGGTCCAGTAAAGCTCATGAAGAGCTGGTCTGAGGGTCAGAAGCCCTGAGTTTTAGTCCAACCTCCTGCCACAGACTCACGGTCTGACCTTGGACAAGTCACTTCCCCTCTCTGGGCCTCAGTGTCCTAGTCTGTAAAATGAGACGGAAAGTATCAGCCGCTCTCCCAGACCCTCGAAGAACTTAGTCATCCACAGTTCTAAGGACTACTACTGGTGGAGATTAAGCATGTGGAGGTGCTGAACTCTGAATGAACTGCTAGACTCCAGAAAGGTTAAATTCCCCAAACAGACAACAGGTGCTCTTGGTAAGTTATTGGTAGGGGAGAGTGGGAGCAATGGGATGTCTACTCCTCCTCTGTGTGGGGAACCATAGGTAACACATGGTCCCTGAATGACAGAATCCTAGGTTAGAGAGGCCATGGTCTGAGCCCATGACACTCTTGCTTTCTTTAGAGATGATTTAAAAGTGAATCATAATAAGCCCTGAAAGGCCAGGTCCTCAAGCTCATCAGCATCTGCCCTGACTGGGGATGGTCACGGGTGCCTGGTGGCTCGCTAAGATGGGCAGGGAACACCCACCTGGCTGAAGGAGTCCAGACAGACCCCATTGTCGATGAGGAAGCGTCGCACGTCTTGGACGAGCTGGGTCTCCCCCAGGGCCATGCGCACGGCCACACTGCCCTTGGTTTCCTGTAGGGGGAGGACAGCAAGGGACCCTGTCGGCTGTCGGCAATCTGCCCTCCCTTTTCACAGCAGCCTGAGGAGGCTTGGATGAAGACGGACTCTTCAATGCCCCCGCTCACCCACACAGATGGGAAGCTCAGCTGCTAGCCAAAAGGTTGGAGGTTTGAGCCCACCCAGAGGTGCCTCGGAAGAAAGGCCTGGTGACCTACTTCTGAATAACCAGCAAAAACCCCACAGAGTACAGTTCTACTCTGATACACACGGGATCGTTATGAGTCAGAATTAACTTGAGGGTGACTGATTTTTTCTGGGGGAGGAGGACAGAGACCAGTGATTCTCCACAGAGTCTCAGGGGCCAAAGAAACGGTGGTAGAACAAGAACTGGGAGCAGAAGGGCTGGCGCCTCTTGGAGAGGTGTGTGATGGTTCAGAGTAAGGGTACTGGGGTTGGCCGACTCCAACTCTTTCCAGGTATGTGACCCTAGGCAGGTTACTTTATGTCCCCAGGCTCGGTTTCTTAATCTGGAAAACGGGGATAGTAAGAGTACCTACTTTATAGGACTGCTGTGACAAGTGACACGCACTAATGCTCGTGAAGCCCCTGGCACAGTGCCCAGGACACCTGAGTGCAAAGACTGTTACCCGTCGATACAAGCATCACTCATGTTCTCTGGTGTGGCTCCACGCAATGAGAAGCCGGACTGGAAGGTGGACTGGGAGGATTCCAGGGAGGAGGGCTGGGAGGATGCCTCCTCCCACTCCAAGGGCCCTCTGGGAAGGCCAAGAAGACACCCATGACTTTGGCACAAGGGGCCCGGAACTCATGGAAGACTCATCCCAGGATAGAAAACCCGCACCCCACCTCCCCCTAACTGTCTTTGTGCTGGTTCTTTCTGTCCTTGGAGCTTGGCCCAACGCTGGGAGGATCGGATGGACTCTTACTCACGTGGTCAAACACTTGGCTCTTGGTGGCGTTGTACTTCTGGGCGATGACGTCAGCCACGGCGTTTGGCCCCATGAACAGCACGTTCCAGTTGTGTGAGCTGAGAGCAGAAGCAGAACGGGAGGTCAGACCACACTGAGTGAGGGGAACACTTTTTCAGAACTAAAACCTTGGAGAAATGGGCTCATAGGCAGACCTTTCTCAGCACTGAAAGCCGCCTCCTCCCTCCAACATACCTGTCATGAGCTAAGTACACAGGGACTGAAGACAATGACAGTCATTATAGTATTAATGGCCCCTGACATTTGTCACAGTGACACGCAAGCCTCCGCTGATGGATGGGTGGTGGTTGCACATGAGGTACACTGGCCATTAAGCAAACCCAGGTCTCCCGCATGGGAAGCAAGAATTTTATCACTGAACCACCAATGCCCCATCTTCCAGAACTTCCAGACTAAGAAGGACTAGAAAGAAAGGCCTAGTGATCTACTTCCAAGTTCAGCCAGTGAAAACCCTATGGATCACAAAACATTGTCCCATCATGGGGATGATGAAAGACTGGACAACGCTTCGTCCTGTTGTGCATGGGGTCTCCATGAGTCAGGGCCGACTTGACGGCAGCTAACGACAAACATCTGTCAAGCACTTACTTTGTGCCAGGGACTAAGCCCTTTGCATATATTAACTCGTTTAGTCCTTATAACCACTCAAAGGTGAGGCACTATCATTCTTCCCATTTTGCAGATGAGGAAACTGAGGCTCAGCAAAGTTGTGGGTGAGAAGCAAACCCATGAGGAGTCAGAGAAGCCAGGCAGCTTGGAAAGGGTAGGGTCAGGGCCTCAGAGATCATGAACAGATGACAAGGACCTGGAGCTGTTGGCTTTGTCCTTGAGCTCCTTTCTTTTCTTATAGGACGATGAACCCGGGGCGTCAGCATCCTCGCTGGCTTCCTTCTTGATTGTGGATGGTAACACATGGAGCATCCTGCCCTGGAGGAGGACAAGAGGAAGGGGATAAACTAAAGGCCTACCCTCAAGTGGGCAGGGTAGGTGCTTCTACCTCCTGTCCCAGGACATCAGTCTCCTCATCTGAGTCGGACTCAGTGCTGAAACCCTGATTGGAGGACAAGGACCACACGGTTACCTCAGCCCAAAACAGGGGCCTGGACATGGGGTACAGAGAAGACAGGGCATCAGGTAGCTATGACCACTTGGTCACTCAGCCCCGAGTGGGGGCCTGACTACAGGGAGGACAGGGAGTCAGGTAGAACGATCACATGGCTGCCCTCAGCCCAGAACAGGGGCCTGGCCACGGGGCACAGAGAAGATGGGGCATCAGGTAGCATGACCATGTGGTCACTTCAGTCCCAAGTGGGGGCCTGGCCACAGGACACGGGGACCTGACATTGTGATACGGCCGTCTGACACAGCCTCACAAACAACGCTTCGATCAGTTTACACCTAACGTGGGCAGCCCTCTCCTTGCCCCCTAACCTGTGCCTGCCCGCCCCTGCACGTGTGAACCAGGGTGAGCTACAGGCCAGCAGGGGCTGGGTCTGGCCTGGCAACCCCAGGAGATAATAAATCAGGAGCGGATGAACAGAAAAGAGGAAACAGAGCAAAGAGGCAGCCTGGGGATCAGAGGACGTTTGCTCAGCACATAACTTGGGGCTACTGGAAAGAAGGAGAAGAGTTTCTTACATCCTATTGTGGCCATTTTAATACGACCACATCAAAATTTCTTTTGTCTTTACTCCTCTTTCAAGGTGATGTTTCTGGAGACGGACAGCATATTTACTCACTTGACAAGTATTGTTTGAAATATTGTTCTAGGTGCCAGAGACAGATCACTGAATGGGACAGACCTGACCCCTGCCCGCACAGAGCTCAGGTGCTAGGAGCTCCTGTGAGGTGGTGGCTTGGCACGCCATCACTGCAAGTATTCTTAGACCTGAAACACGGTCTCTCTCTCTCTGTGTCACACACACACACACACACACACACACACACACAGCCAGCACTCACCTGGAACACCTGCCCGTCCACCTCGGCGTAGGCCTTCACTGCGTGCTCGGGGAACATGAAGGTGATGAAGGCAAAGCCCTTGGGCTTCTTGGTCAGGCTGTCGATGGGGTAATGGAGCTCAGACAGGGGGCCTGAGGACAGGACAAGTGTCAGTCTCCTGAGGGCCAGGGCCGGGCCTGAGTTCTGGGGGAGAACGGTGCTGGGCACAAATAAAGCAATTGGTTTTAAATGGTAAGAGCATCAAACTACTGCTCTGAGCCAGCCACCGCCTATGCCTGCTGCGAGGCCACCCTCAAAGGTCAGGGGTGTCCTTTCACAGTCGTATACGTGTCTATCCTAAGAGCAGAGGTGGAGTGGAGTCGAGGCACCTGGGCTGAACCCTGGCTCCACCACCTGCTACATGTGCGGCCTTGGGCAAAGGACTTGGCCTCCATGCGCCTCAGTCTTCCTAGCTGTGAAACGGCATAGTGAGAGTACCTAACTCACAGGGCAGTGGGAAGGGTTAAATGTGTTCATAATTTGAACAGTGCTTGGTACATGGTTAATGCATGTGTTTACTGTAATGTTATTCTTCTCAAATTATAGCACATCATTTCTCAATCTGTGTTTCAACTTTCAACTCCAGAGTGTGACTATGACCACTTCTTGGTCTCTGTCTTCCCAAACGGACAATTTCAGTCTGTCAACGACACCCTCTCCTGTCCCTGCTAGGTAAGCCAGGGCACCAGCCTGTGTGGAAGGAGCCGGCAAGGCAAGGCAGCAGTGGACCCAGGCTCAGATGTTACACTAATTGTTCACGCCAGGCACTGAACAAACCTCTGTGGTCCTCCACAACCCACAGCCTGCCACAAGAACAAAAGTGGGAGACACTGCAGGGGACCTCAAAAGCATCAAGACCTCACCCTCATTTGAACCCTAATTTCCTTCCCTTCAACAAATGTAACCCTACAAATGAATCCAGGCTTGTGCGACCACACTGCACTCCAGGCCTTCAATTCTCGTCCTGAGAACTAACAATAATAAAAAATAACCGTCACTGTCAAATCTATTAGGACGTTCGGTTTGGACAGCAAGACCTTAGCCCAGAGTCTGAATACCGAGGGGCACTGTTTTATTCATATCTACACGGTGACTGAATTTCAAATACTGAGTAGTGAGAGTTCAGACAGCAAGGGAATCTAAAAAAAACTTATCCAGATCGCTCTGAGTCTGAGTTTGGAGAGGAAGAGTTCAAACAGCAAAAGATACCTATAACGTTACCTTGCATTGTATGCCCTGCTAACCCCTGAATACATCATGTCACTGACTCCTCACAGCAGCTCAGGGGTAGTTAGGCCTATTTTATAGATGAGAAAACTGAGACAATTTGCCCAAGGCCAAGAGCTCATGGCAGGCCAACTGGGACTTGACCCCCGGGCGTCTGAGTCTGGCACCTGACCTCATATCCATGGGGCCGTCAGGGTGCAGTGGGCCTGGAGCCCAGGCGCCTACCGTATTTGGAGAAAAGCTTCTCCAGGTCGTCCTCGGTGCTGGCGTAGGGCAGGTTTCTCACAAACAGCCTCCCGGAGTCGGCCAGGTCCTCCTCCTCCTCATTCTCCCCAAGTGTCCGGCCCTGCCAGGGCTTGGTGCTATTCTTAAGGGGCCCCTTGGCCATGGGGACGCTCTTTTCCCTGAACACCTCGATGTAGCGTCCACCTGCATGAGGAGAGAGGTCAGAGCTCCGTGGGGAGGCCCGAACTTGCCAGGGATTCCTGACTGGGGATTCCAAAGTCTTCTCTGCTGCCCTCCAAGATGCCACGGCCAAGGCGGCTGATGACAGTACCCGACACTACCCTCTGGGACCAGGACAGCAGCCTTAACCAGAAGGCCCTGAACCTCTCATCCCCCAAGTTCAGTTTCAACTCTGCAGGGAAGCCTGTCTGGACCAGCCCATGCCCCAGTGACACACTCTCTAAATTGCAAACACTTCCTGTCCACCAGCGCCGGCACTTCTGGCTGCTCTGCCTTGGGAAAGGTCTTAAGTGACAACACAATACTGGACAATTACTGTGTCCTGTTAATGGGACTGGAGACCTGGTGGTGCAGTGGTTAAGCATTTGACTGCTAACCAAAAGGTCAGCAGTTCAAATCCACCAGCCGCTCCTTGCAAACCCTATGAGGCAGTCCTACTCTGTCCTATAGGGTCGCTATGAGTCAGAATCGACTCGATGGCAATGGTTTTTCGGTGGGTGATGGAACTGTTTACACGCATTGTCCCGTGTGCCCAATCAGACTGCGACTATACTCATATCCGCCACATGCACAGAGTAGATGCTCAACTCACACCTACCAATGGACCTGCTAACCAGACCCCTCAGGTTTCCCACTTTCCCTAAGAGAACTCATGCCTTCACCGGGGATTGATGGCTAGACCTGACTCACTCATCCACACCAGGGATGGTCAGAGACCGTGTTTTTGGACATCATCCAGGTAGCCTCCAGCTGGGGAACGTGCGCTTACTGTTCCCTCTATGGGAACCCCCAGTCCCCCCACGGCCACAGAGCTTGCTCCCTCAATTCCTTTGGTTTTTGGTCCCAGGTCACCTTCTCTGCAAGGCCCAAGTGGACACAATCCTATTTAAAAATATGCCCCCTCCAATCTAGTCCTCTCCATAACCCTTGCCTGCTGGGCATTCTTCCATAGCAAGGATGGTGTCTTGCTTTTTTTTCTTCCCCTGATTTAGAAAATATAAACTGTTCTGGAAATAAAGCAAGAGAGGTCTGGAAAGACAGATTCTTTGCTCTGCACATCCCAGAGGCCAAGCACTCTGTAGTTACAGTGTTACAATCTACCATCGAGGCTTTCCCCTTTCCTGACTTTTATGGACTGGCAGTGACAAGTCTGTACCCTCTGACCCAGGGGGCCTGTGTACTTTGCTTATTTATTTGATTATGCCTGCCTCTCCCCGCTCTGTGGGAGCTGACTCTGTGTCGGCTCTGCGAGGTCAGGGCCTATGTCTGTCTGCTCACTGCCGTCTCCCAGGGCCCAGCATGGTGCCTGGCACATCATGGACGCTCAATAGAACAACCTGCCCCACTCAGAGACGGCGCCTCCCGGGCTTCCTTACCCATGTACTCCCGGTTGCACTTCAGTGCCTTCTTCACTTCCTCCTCACTGCTGAAATCCACGAAGACGTAACCTGGGAGGGGACAGTGACACAGGTGAAGTCTCCGGGCCCCACAGACCCGTGGTGGGTGCCATGGATGAACCCACACACTGTGCCAGGTGTTTGGGGAAATCTGAGCAGAAATGGGTGGAGAAGAAACCTCTCTTTTTGCCACCCTCCAGCCCAATCTCCCTTGGCAGGGAGTGTTGAGGTCCTGTGGCCTGGCTCTGTGGATGAAGATTCTAGATTTGGAGTCAGAAACACAGAGGTCCTTGGCTTCCCTTTGGATTCACCCCGATCCCTGGCCACTGCCGCTCCTTGGCCAAGTCAGGGCTTAGCACCGCTCTGAATGCTGCAAGCTTATTAACTCACTGAGTCCTTGTGAATTGAGGAGACAGCCTTGTCCGTATGGCAATGATGAAGAAACTGTGAGGCCAAGGACCTTGTCCAAGGTCACAAGGTTCTTAATGTGGCCGAGCCTGTGGGACTTTGTAACAGCAGCCCCAGGAAGCTAAGAAATCTGGGGAGAGTGGCTTGGGGACAACACCACACACTCATGTTCTCAGCAACTCAGACCGCTGCCTGCCAGCAGAGCTGCCGATGGACTTGGCCCAGCAACCCCCAGGACCTGCTGACATCCCTTTAAACGGAATAGGCGAATAAGCGTAAGATGAGGAAGAGGAAGGGAGAGAAAGGACACACAAGAAAACAGCATCACTGTACATCAGCTGCCAAGGCAGGTGACAAGAGGCAACCTTGCCCTGACCAGTTTAAGCATATCCACATATCTGAGGCCCACAAACGGGGTAAAAATGGTCACCCTTAAAACGTTCCACCCTATCAGCCTGAGAGGAGAAGAACTAGATGGTGCCCGGCTACCACCAATGACCGCCCTGATGGGGAACACAACAGAGTCCCTGACGGAGCAGGAGAAAGGTGGGGTGCAGAACTCTAATTCTAGTAAAAAGACCAGACTTAATGGTCTGAGACTGGAGGGACCCCGGAAAGCACGGCCCCCGGACTCTCTGTCAGCCCAGAACTGAAACAATTTCTGAGGCCAACTCTTCAGACAAAGATTGGACTGGACTGTGGGACATAAAGTGATACTCGTGAAGAGTGTGCTTCTCAGCTCAAGTAGATACGTGAGACTAAACAGGCAGCTTCTGTCCAGAGGTGAGAGGAGAAAGCAGGAAGAGCTAGGAGCTGGTTGAATGGACATGGGAAATCAGGGGTGGAAAGGAGGAGTGTGCTGTCACAGTATGGGGAGAGCAATTAGGGTCACATAACAACGTGTGTATACGTTTTTGTATAAAGGACTAACTTGAAATGTAAACTTTCACTTAAACTACAACAATAAACAAAAAAAACCTTCCTCCCTTATCCGACCACCTTTACTTCCACCTTTAACCTCCCATCTTTACCATCTGCCTCTCAAGCCCACCCGGAAACACCGTAGCCCTTACCTGTTTTGTTCCCATGAGCATTTCTCACTATCCGGATGGCCACCGGCTTCAGAGGTGCCAGGAATTCCATAACACTTTTCTGTAAGGAGAAGGAAAGCTTTTCCCCACTTTATCAATCCAATGAAAGAAAAAGTACAAGCCAATAAAGAGACAAATTCCTGTCTTCAGGGAGGACTCCAAAGGCTGTTCCCCTTTCTAGCTTCTCTCTTGCTTTTAAATCGCACAGTCTGTTCTCTGTCAGGAGTCCCTGGGTGGGGCAAATGGTTCACGGAGTTCTGACAGAGACCATACTGACCATAAATTCTTAAATACTTTAACAGCTGGCCTTTTTTTTTTTTTTTTTTTTAAACAGAAGTTTGCTAACCCCTGGTGTAGACAATCGGAGCCCTGGTTGTGCAGTGGTTAAGAGCTCGGCTGCTAAACAAAAGGTTGGCAGTTCAAATCCACCAGCCGCTCCTTGGAAAACCTATGGGGCAGTTCTACTCTGTCCTACGGGGTTGCTATGAGTTGGAATTGATTCCACAGCAATGGGTTTTGGCTGGCGTGGACAATGAGTGAGGGAGACCTGTACTCCTGCTGTCTTGGTAACTGTCCTTGTTTCCCGATCCTTATTTATCAGACTCTGGTCCCCAGTTCCTTACAGCTCATGTCCCCCACTGATTGCAAGGCACCCATGCTGCGACGGCCCCTGGCAGCCTGCCCTTGCCTCCTGCCCACGTGAGGCTGCCTGTCCTTGTCCACGGTGAGCACATACCTCTGTGACATTGAACGGGGCTCCCCGCAGCTTCACGGTGTAGGGGGTGGTGGGCTCCTTCTGGGTTGCTGGTTTCTCTGTCTGGGTGAGCACAAAGAAGAAACAGAAATGGCCACAGTGAGCCCCCGGTACAGCTGCAGGAAGAGGCCCACCTGGGCAACTCAGTGCCCGACGAGGGGCCTGATGCCAGGGACAGCTGGGGAATGCCCGCCAGAGTCTGTGCCATGGAGGCAGAGTCTGGGCAGAGGTAGAGGAGGGAGAGTCCAAGCCTTCATGTGCACCTGAGGTGGGGGCTGGGACAGGGCTCAGCAAGTGACAGGCATGCTATCTGGGCCCAGGCTGCAAGGAGGGGCAGAGGCGATGGGAAGAGGCCCTGAAGTACAGTGACTTTTACTGCCACTGATTTAGGGCTTGTCCTGTGCCAAGCACATTGTAGACGCTGGCCTGTTGACTCTTTGTAACAATCCTATAAGGACTATGGGTTTATGATCTTTTGTGGTAATTCTGGAATCCAAACAGCTCTGAAAAAACAAAGGTTTCTGGTAACTCTTTTGGCAACAAAACCTGCCCTGACCCGAACTCATCTGCCAGCTGAGCCTGACCTGAGCCAATGTGAGGCTAGTTATAACCAGTAACCGACTGCTATTGAGTCGACTCTGACTCCTGGTGATCCCATGTGTGTCAGAGCAGGACTGTGTTCCATTGGGTTTTCAATGGCTGAATTTTTGGAAGTAGCTCACCAGGCCTTTCTTCTGAGGCACCGCTGGGTGGACTCGAACCTCCAACTTTTCAGTTAGCAGCCAAGTGTGTTAACTGTTCGCACCACCCAGGGACTCCAAGGTGATTTCGTTTAAATTTACCCCAGGTAGTCTGACTGGTCATATGTTTCCTTGCAGAAATGAACGTGCTTGATTATGGGGTGTTGCCCCACACCCCACTGGGGGTGCTACACCACACAGGATACAGGATTATCTTTCTGAAATGTGAAAATTTCTGATTTCCAAAGCACACTTAGGCACAGGGGTTTTAGAGTTGGGATACTGGGGCCACTGCTATGATGAGTGTCACTCTTACGAATGAAGATTAGAGGCTAACCGAGGTGACGTCTCTCACCCAAGGTAAAACAGCTACTAAGTGTCAGAACTCTCTGAGGCAGGGGAAAGAGGAGAACAAAAAGAGGGAGATGGATCTGGGAGGTCTGAAATTAAGGGCAGGAGAAGAGCTGAGGCTTCCAAGGCTTCTCTCGGGAAGTGAGGGAACAGGGACCCACAGCTACATGTCACACCGCCCTTTCTCTGCAGCAAAGAGGACACCGGGTGGGACAAGAGGTGTCATCTAGACCATGGAGCTCAGGAGACCTGGGTCGACCACTTCCCAGCCATGACCTTGGGCAAACCACTTCCCTTGTCTGGGCCTCAGTTTCCTCACCTGTAAAATGCGACAAGAAGAATCCCTACCCCATTGATTGTTATGCAATCCAGTGACATGGCAGGTATGGCACCTAGCATGTAGTAAATACTCAGTTAACATTATCTATTATCATCAATGATAGCTCACACCTGTCTATACTGTTACTAAATACTAAGTATACCACTTTCATGTCCATCATCAAGCTCGTTTACGCCCCACAACTCCAGAAGGCAGGCAGCATCTCCCTGTAGTGGGAAAATAAACTCAGAGAGAAGTGACTTGCCCAGCGTCACACAGCAAGCACGCGGCAGGGCCGAGATCTGAAGTGCGGCCTCTGGATTGCAAAGCTGTTATCTTCTCTACCTTCTAAGCCCACGACAGACAAGAGGAGTCTGGGGAAATACAGGAGCGCCTCCTTCCCAGCACCTCCCAAATCTTTAGGGCGCACCCCTGGCCCCACACACCTCAGCTATGGCCTCCTGTGGTTGCTTCTTCCCAGACAGGGCCTCCTGCTTGTGGCTGGCCCCCTTCCTCCCTATTTCAGACTGGGCTGGGGCAGCAGAGGAATCCTCATCCTCACTGCCTTCCTCGCAGTTCACTGCTTCATCTTCACTCTCCTCCTCCTCCGAGGAGGAAGATGACGACTCGGCCTTCACCACCTTGGATTTCAGGTAATCCATGTCTGACAGCTCCTTCTGCACAGCTGCCTTTGGTGCAAGGTCTTCCTCTGCTGGAAACACAGGGAGACTGGGTGTCAGCGATGGGCATGAGCAGGTGGGGGTAGGCCCCAGCCTTTCTCCCAAGGACCACACTGCACTGTCCCCTTCAACACTCCCAACCGGCTCATGTAACAAGTCCCTGTAATTCAGGCAAGGGGTTAAGTATCTTGAGTACATATAGGATCGTCACTCCCTGATTAGAACCCTTTGGTGGACCAGAAGAACGAGATGGTGCCTGGCTACCACTACCGACGGTTCTGGTCAGGGCCATAATAGATGGATCCTGACAGAATGGGAGAAAAATGTAGAACAGAACTCAAGTTCTTAAAAAGTCCAGACTTACGGGTCTGGTTGAGACCAGAGGAACTCCCTGAGACTACTGCTCTGAGATGCTCTATAAACCTTGAGCTGAAACTATCCCGAGGCTAGCCTTTCACTAATTAACAGATCAGCTCATAAAATAAAGAGTAACACCCATAAGTACTACCTACACTCCTTTAAAGAAACCATCTATATGAGATCAAATGGTCAACAATTACTGTAAAGCAAAGATGAAAGAGTAAGGACACAGAGAAACTAGAGTGCTGGAAATGGAACAACCAGAATGGAAACAATGAGAATGTTCACACACCATGAAAACTGTAAGCAATGTCACTGAACAATCTGTGTAGAAATTGTTGAATGAGAACCTAAACTGCTGTGTAAATCTTCACTGAAAACACAAAAAAATATTATTTTAAAAACAAAACAAAAACCCTGTGGTGGTTTCCAGATGCTCCCAGGACCAAACCCAAACTCCTTCTCCTAAAGGCCATCTGGCCCGACTCCAGCTTCTCCTTCGAGCTCCACTGCACACTGCTCTGGCCACCCTGGACCACGCGGGGTTCCCGCAGCACACAGCGCTGTCCCTCTTCCCTGTGCCCTGGCCATGCCCGCCCCGCCCCTCCCGTGTCCTGCTAACTCCCAGGAGGCATTTGGATCTCAGCTCAGCACAGAAGCTTCACCAGGCTAACACTCACATTCAACTCACATCCTCAGTGATGGCAGAATAATTTGGAAAAGGGTAGCAAGAATGGTCGCACAACTTGAAGAATGTAATCAACATCACTGAGTTGTACATGTAGAAATGGCTGGGACGGCATATGTTTTATGCGATATTTCACAATGAAATTTAAAAAAAAAAAGGGTGGAAAAAAAATTTACATTCTTTTGGTTCTAATCTAGAATCCATTCCCAATCCCGAACCTCAGCACTTCCCGCTCTGCAATCACTTGCCTCCCTGCAGTCTCCCCACCCCTCCCTGAGCCCCTCCTGAGGACGAGGCCTCACTCCTGCACCTCAGGGCATTTGCTCCGGGGCCACCTCCTCTCTGAAGCCTTCCCTGCTAGCTCTCCTAGTGTCCTTCCTGGCTTTTTCTCTGCAGCACCTGTCAGGATATAACATACTCAGCCATGAACTTGTTTATTGTTTACCTGCCCCCTCTGGAATGACAGCTCCTTTTGTGTTTTCTTCACCACTATGTCCTCAACGCCTAAGACCGTGCCTGGCATACAGTAGGTGCTCAATGAATACTGACTGACTGAATGAATGAAGTGAACAGGATCAGTCAAGGCAGGGGACCTGTGGGGGATCATCACCCCCTCAGTGGAGAGCTCGAGGGTAGTGACTAGCTCCCTGTGCCCTGGTGTCTGGCACTGAGGGGCCTCGCACATGCCAGCCTGGCAGCCCACACAGGCCCGTATGCACACACAGGCCCACAGGGGACCGCGCTCAGGCACGGGGACGCTCTCACCTTCAGAGCCTTTGCCAGCCCCCTCCTCCTCGCTCTCCTGTTCCAAGTCTGAGTCGAAGTTCAGGTAGTCGCTGGCTGGCTCGCTCTTCCCTTTCACAGGCTTGGTGTCCAGGGCATCGTTCGCCCACGTGGCGACCTGCATCCGCCTCTGGTGGACCGACAGGAACTCCCGGAACTCAGTGTCTCCCTTCAGCTGGTGGATGGGAGCGGAGGCAGCAGGGGAGCAGGGAAGAAGGGAGAACAGGCAGAGAAGTTCAGGGAAGGCCTAGATATTTCTAACACTGAGAAAGGGAGGGGCATCCTCCAAGCTCAACCTCCTCCCCACCAACCTCAGGGGTCAGCTGGGCTCTAAGGAAGGCAGAGAGGGCTCTTCACCTGATGAGAAGGCTCAGGGAGGCGGGGGACGAGAGGCGCTCTGTGTGCCTGGGCCAGCCCCCCTCGCCCGGCCTGTGCACCCTCCCAGGACTGCCTCCGGGGGCCCTCCTGGTCAACAGGGCGGACTCACCTTCTCCAGTTCACTGGTGACCATTTTCTTCTTATTGTCCTGCAAAGAGAAGGCAGAGACTGTGAGGGTCACACAGGGGAAGGACAAGAGGGGACAGAGCTGTCTCGCCCTGGGAGGGCCCACTTCCTAGAACCATCAGAGGGGGATTCTCAGAATGTTCCTGCTTCACTGCCTGTCCCTCCTAGAGCAGTAACCACCCTGCTGACAATGGGCTGGGGTGACCTCCGACGTACTTGCTTTGTTTCTGGGGAAATGGGGTCTTTTGAAGATAGCTTGGGCTGGCTTGGTTTCTGGGCGTGTTTGCTCCAGGCTCGGGGCTTTGTCGGGTCCCCAAATGACTTGCAGAACTCCACCTGCATGGGAAAGAGACAGTGACAGTCACACCAGCCCCTGCAGCCAGGGCTGGGGCTGCACCTCGGCAGCTGCAAGCTGGGGCATTTTAATGTGACAGTCGCCACTCAACTAGTTGAAACAAATGAGTTATCTGCCCTTAACCTTGGCTTGGAGTCCCAGGGAGGCGCAAACGGTTAATGTGCTCGGCTGCTGACCCAAAGGTTGGCGGTTCAAGTCTACTCAGAGGTGCCTTGGAAGAAAGGCCTGGCAATCTATTTCAGAAAAATCAGCCATTGAGAACCCTATGAAGCACCCTTCAACTCTGACACACAGAGGGTTGCCATGAGTCAGAATCGACTCAATGAGAACTGTTTTTTTTAAAACCTTGGCTTTTCCCTACCTTGAAACCATTATAAGTGCTAACATTTACTGAGGAATTACACGTTCCAGGCACTGTCTTAAGTGCTTTACCTGCACTGATTCCCTGAGCCTCAAAACAAAGAAAAGAATTAGGACCTTCCCCACTTTTCACACCAGGAAACTGAAGCAGAGAAAAGTGACAAAACTTGCCCTACATTAACCAGGTAGTAAGTGACAGGGAAGGGACTGGAACTCAGGGAGTCTGACTTGGGAACCTGAATCCTTCACCATCTACTCCAAAGGCTGGCTGTGAGGATGAAATGGGGTGACCGGGCAACGTGCTCAGCCAGGGTCCGGCACAGGGCAAGGCTGCGCGAATGGCTGTCAGGGTTATTCTAATTCCTGTGAGGCGAGCCCACCTGGCACCAGAGCATGACTCTAGGGTAATGAGAAAAATGTGCTGACCGCTTGGGGCATGATGAGTGTTGAGTGCTAAGTAGGAGCTGATACATCTCCCTAGCTCTTATCTCCTCCAACACGCTCCTTTATGATGACCTTTGTGAGAGCTGGTCTTGCTAGGAAGTCCACGGTTGGCGCTTACACACAAGCCATTCCAAGCCATAGACAAAGGCTGGAGCTAGTCAACCAATCACTTCCTGTAGAGAAGCGGCTGCCATCTTGTTACACCCTCTTTCGTGTGGATTTTCCAAATAGTTTTGTTGTGTTTGTAATAGTGATATGTGCTCAATGTACACAGCTCAAACAATAAAGAAAAACAACAAAAGTTAAAAAGAAAAAAAAAATTACCCCAATTCCTATCACTCAGAGAGAGGAATTATTAACACAATCAATTTGCGGTAGTTATGTTCTATAAAGTTGCCGCAAATTCTGAATTAACAAGCCATGAACCACTGTTCCTAGAGGATTTAGAGTTACAACATTTTTGTGAGCTTATCAATCGTGAGCCTCTGGTCACAACATTTTTGTCAGCTGAATAACCTTGTTTTATGTGTATTTCTGTTTAGATACCTTAAATATATGTTGTAGATGCGATAACACTGCTCATAGCCAACAGCACTATATCTTGCGCCTGAACGAAGCTTATCTGACACATGTGTTTTCTTTGTAAGACACATCACAGCCTTCTTGTGCTCAGGAACAGTAGACAGCACTTCCAACGCTAAGCTCAAGGCTGTTTCAAACAGCAAAATCACCAATAAAAAGCACAAAAATGTGTAAAACGTGGCACTAAACACAGCGCAAGAAGGACACTTGTTTACAGTATGAGAGCTGAAACAAAAAGGTAGAGAATCACCTTCTTCGACCTCAGCTAAGGACGTGTGCATCGGGCAACTCAAATTTTTCACTGCTCTGTGCATGTCTGCGAATGACTGAGAAAGTAGTGAGTACTGATTTGGGGGGTTACCAATAAATTTTAGGGAGTAGACAATTTGCAAATATGAAATAAATGAAAAACAAGGATCAACTTTATCTTGGTAAAAATCCATCTATACATCCTTCTATACGTACAAACACACAGACTGAAGGGTATGACTGTCGAAATATGATCATGACATATACTCCTCCATGATCTGCCTTTCACGCAGTGTGTATAGATGTTTTGCCAAGTCATTAAATAAACACTACCACATAAATAGGGGCCAGGTGTGTTACCTTTTTTCTGATCTCCTAATACCTATCATACAGACCAAAAGGTCTATAGTTCAAATCCACCAGGTGCTCCCTGGAAATTATGGGGCAATTCTACTCTATCCTATAGGATCGCTATGAGTCGGAATCAACTCATTGGCAAGGGTTTTATCATACAGTGGGTGCTCATTCAGTGCTTGCTGAATGGGTGAGTCAATGAATGACACAGACCAGCGGTTCTCAAAGGGTGGTCCTTGGACCATCTTGTTAGAAATACACATTCTTGCCCACCCCACACCCTGCGTCAGAATCTCTGGGGATAGGGATCCAGGATATTGTTTTAACAAGCTCTCTTCATGATTCTTCTGCCCATGAAAGTTTATGAACCACTGATATCGACGACCCAAGAAGTCACAGTCTGAAAAGGGACAGTCCTTGGACCGGAGTGTTGAGTGCAATATCAAGTAGCATCACCTTGAACAGGCAGGCAAGGTTGAGACCTGAGCTGACTTACTGTGATCCGGGATGTGTCGATAAAACTCTTGTTGAAATGATTCAGTGCCGTTTGGGCCTCTTCCTCAGACTTGAAGCCAATAAATCCAAACTTCCGGAACTTGCCATCTTTGGTGAACTTCAGGCTGCAGTCTGTCAGCGTGCCGAAGGAGGCAAACAGCTGCTTGAAACGCTCCTCCTTCATCTAAGGCAGAAGAAGGGGTGACAATGAGGCACAAAATGGGGATAACAGGACAAAATGGGATGGAGCCGAGAGGCTGCAGGATTCCCCAAGGACGCCCCGAGGATAGATAACATCGCAGTCATTCTCGTCTTGATTTCTTCACTAATGAAATGAATAACTGTCCCATAAGTGTTTCAAGGCTGTAATCTTTCAGGAGGGAGGCTTCCACATCTGTCACAGGTGGAGCGGCTGGTGGGTTCGAACTGCCGACCTATCAGCAGCCGGGCGCTTAACCACTGGCCACCAGGGCTCCTACTTGTCCTAAAGTTGCCGAGTCCATCAAAAGACGGAAATAAGAATTAGAACTAAGGTTCTAAGGAGCCACTGTCTCTCTCCGATTGTCAAATGGGATACGAGGATCCTGTCCCTTCTGCGCGGAGAATTCCGCCCGGAGTTCTGCCGTAGAGTGGGAACCCAATTCTTCTCAACCGACACCGCCGCCCCAGCTCCCGGCTAATCTCATTTTCATACCCCAAGTCCAGGCTCTATACTCACCCCATTCGGGAGGTTCTTCACGATCAGTCGCGACATGGCGCACCGTCCCCACTGTTCTGAATCTGGCACAATTGGACAGCGGCTTCCACCAACATTCACGCTGCAGCTCTGGGCGCCGCCATCTTGGGCGACCCGGAAGGAAGTCACTTGACCCCGATCTACGTCAGCTCCGTCCGGAAGTAGGCGTGACCAAACCAAGGAAGTCACACCCCAAGGAGTGAGTCTAAGGCCTCTCATTCTGCGCAGGCGCACACCGTTTGGCGGAACGCGGAGAGCCCAAGGAGGCAGTGATCGGTAGGGGGCACCGGTTACTAATATTGGTGGGAGGCATTGCGCGTGGTTAACTCAGCGTGTTCTAGCGTTTCGTGGGCGGGGAACTTGTCTTCTCGCCCCTTCTGTATTTTATTATTAAGTCCTAAAACAGCCCTGAGAGCGGAGGCAGGATTGGGGACTCTTGCTTCCCTTTTACAGATGGGGAAACTGATGCTCAAAGAGGCTTCCACTCACCTCGAATTAATAGAGATAACAATTAGCGAGAGTGGATAAATAGCAGAATGTGCATATTGGATATAAACATTCCCGTTTTGAAGCTGGGCAAACTGAGACTCGGACAGATAAAGCGAGTTGCTCAAAGTCGTGTATCCATTAAGCAGAAAGCCTGGCATTTGAACTGGGGCTGCCACTTAAGGCTGCGATGAGGACCTACTCCTTGAACTCCACCTCCACAGCGTGAATGCTGCAGCCTGGCTGAGTTTTTAAATCCCAGCTAGCCACCTTCTAGCTAGGTCTTGGCCAAATTAGCCTTTGTGAGCTTTCTTGTGTTCTTCTGTAAAACAGAGCTAACTGGATTATCCAAGGAGCCCTGCTGGCACAGTGGTTAAGTGCTTGGCTGTTAACTAGAAGGTTGGCAGTTGGAACCTGCCCAGAGCCTCTGCAGGAGAAAGACCTGGTGATCTGCTCGGTAAAAATTACAGCCTAGAAAACGCTGTGGGGCAGTTCTACTCTGTCACATGGGGTCGCTAGGAGTTGAAATTGACTAGACGGCACCTAACAACAATGGTGGCTGTGAAATAGTGTCTCATTGTGCATTTATTTTATTGGGGTAAAATATACACAACATAAAATTTGCCATTTTAACCATCTTCAAGCATACAATCCAGTGGCATTAATCACACTCACAATGTTGTACAACCACCAGCACTGTTTATTTCCAAAACTTTCCAGCACCCCAAACAGAAACTCTGTCCCCATTCAGCAGCAACAACGTCCCCCACCTCCCAGCCCCTAGTAACCACTAATTTACTTTCTATTTCTATGTGTTTGTCTATTCTAGATATTTCATATAAATGGGATCATACAGTATTTGTCCTTTTGTGTCTGGCTTACTTCACTCAGCATAATGTTTTCCAGGTACAGCCTTGTAGTAGGCTGTACCACAACTTCATTTCTCTTTATGGCTGAATAATACTCCATTGTGTGGATATACCACAATTTGTTTACCCATTCAACTGTGTTGCAAAGTATATTGAATATACCATGGACTTCCAGAAGAAAACAAATCTGTCTTGGAAAAGTACAGCCAGAATGCTCCTTAGAAGCAAGGATGGTGAGGCTTCATCTCATGTACTTTGGACATGTTATTAGGAGAGACCAGTCCCTGGAGGAGAACATCATGCTTGGTAAGGTAGAGGATCAGCAAAAAAGAGGAACTCCCTCAACGAGATGGATTGACACAGTGTCTGCAACAATGGGCTCAAGCATAACAACAATTGTGAGGATGGCGCAAGACCGGGCAGTGTTTCCTTCTGTTGTACATAGGATCGCCATGAGTTGGAACTGGCTCGGCACCTAACAACAACATTCAACTGTTGATGGACACTTAGGTTGTTTCTGCCTTTTGGCTGTTGTGAATAGTGCTGCAGTAGGCATTGTATTAGGGCTGTTTAACAATTATACCACAAACTGGGGAGCTTAAAACAATAGAACTTTATTCTTTTACAGTTCTGGAGGCTAGAATCTGAATTCAGGGTGTTGACAGCACCATGCTCTCTTCCAAGGACTCTAGGGGAAGATCCTTCCTTGTCTCTTCCAGCTTCTGGTGGCTCCAGGAATTCCTTGGCTTGTGGCTGCATCACTCCTGTCTCTGGCTTGGTCTTCACATGGCCTTCTTCCCTCTGGTGTCTGAGTCAAATCTCCCTCTGCCTTTCTCTTATAAGAACACCTGTTATTGGATTTGAAGGTACTGGTGGCTCAGGGGGATAATTTTCACTTTCCATGTGGGAAACCTGGGTTCAGTTCCCAGCCAGTGCACCTGATGTGCAGCCACCTCGTCACTAGAGGCTTGCGTGGTCCTATGATGCTGAACAGATTTCTGCAGGGCTTCCAGACTAAGACAGACCAGGAAGAAAGGCCTGGTGATCTACTTCCAAAAATTAGTCAGTGGAAACCCTATGGGTCACAATAGTCCAATCCACACCCGATCAGGGGGACGGCACAGGACCAGGCAGCATTTTCTTCTGTTGCACATGGGGTCGCCATGAGTTGAGGGCGGAGTCAATGGCGGATGACAACTCATTGGATTTAAGAACCACCCTACATCCAAGATGATCTCATCCTTCACTTAATGACATTTGCAAAAACCCTTTTTCCAAATAAGTTTCCATTCCCAGGTTTTGGGAGTTAGGACGTGGACATAGCTCTTTCGGCAGCACTATTTAACCCACCACGTGGGCATTTGCTTTTTACTAGATCACTCAGGGGATCAGTTCCTTCCTTGCCATGTCTTATGTAGAGTGTCTACTCAGTTAAAAGTGACCCCCACACATAGACAATTGTATTTTAAAATCTCAGACACACACGCCCTAAACTAAAAATGGACTCTCAAGGCTAGGTCCGTGACTTACAGGGTCACTGTGTTTCAAAGCCATTCTTTCATTCAACAGATATTTATTGATACATATGAAAGTGCTTGAAGCCCTGGTGGTGCAGTGGTTAAGAGCTCGGCTGTTAACCAAAAAGAGTTGGCGGTTCGAATCCACCAGCTGCTCCTTGGAAACCGTATGGGACAGGTCTACTTTGTCCTATAGGGTCACTATAAGTCTCAATCGACTCGACAGCAACGGGTTTGGCTTTTTTTGTTTTTTTTTTTTAAATGAAAGTGTTCTTTAATTAAACGACAGCGGGCGGGGGGCTGCTTTCCGTGCCATGTGACCCTAGTTCGGATGGGCTGGGGCAGGCTTTATGAGCCAGCTCTGCAATCTTAGCGTTTTATGAGAGGGCAACTGCGGGTTCCCAGCCTGTCCCGGTTCCACATCCTTTGATTTTATTATTTTCATGGACTGCCTTTATTAAAACCCACAACTAAAGGTAGCCTCCACTAAAGAAATTCACAAATCTGAAGGTTTTCAAAGGTATTAAAGGAAAATGGTGTTTCCTTTACGAACACCCATGTCTCAACAATGGGCTGGAAAATATGGTTGCCACATGTGGGGGAAGAAGGGGCCACTCATGGGCCGTATGCCCCTGTGCATTTAATAAATAGCCACGTTATAATGTTATTATTGGTCTCTTTGCTCTCCTGCCTTCCCATCTGTCTCCCTTATTTCCAGCAAATACAATCCAGGGGCACCTGGACTCTACTAGGCTGGCCTCTCTGATTACAATTGGGGATAAAACAAAACAATTCCAGCAGGTCTCAGCCAGCTCTAGGTCTCTGGGTGGTGCAAGCGGCTTGCACATGACCACTAACCTAAAGGTTGGCAGTTAGAAGCCACCTAGCAGCATCGTGGAAGAAAGTCCTGGTGATCTGCTTCCATAAAACTTACAGCCAGGAAAACCTTATGGAGCAGTTCTACTCTGTAACACATGGGGTCACCATGAGTTGGAATCGACTGGACAGCAACTAACAAAACAATGACTTAGCCAGCTCCATTGAGGCTGCCTTCCTGATTGCACTGGGGGCTGTAAGGGGCTGGGCCTGGGTCCCTGAGGGAATTGACCTCCTACTCAGGGAACAGGCTAGAGGTGGAGAGAGGTCCTGGAGGGGCTCGAAGAGGCAGGATGGAGGGAGGAGAGCAAACAGAGCTCTTCACTTCCCTCTGCACATCGGAGCCTCCTGGTCTCAGGGAATGGCACTGATGTCCACCCTGCTTCCCTGGCCAGAAACCTGGAGCAATGCTTGAGTCCTCTCATGTCTAATCAATTAGCAAGTCCTGGCAGCCCCAGCTCCTAAATATTTGCCCAAAACATGCTCTTTCCCCACCTCCACCACTATCGCCCTGGTCTAAGCAGCCACTGTATGAGCTTCCTATCGATGCTGTAACAAATTACCACAACTCAGTGGCTTAAAACAACACAAATGTATTCGCTTACAGTTCTGGGGGTCAGAAGTCTGAGAATCAAGCCATTGGCAGGATTGTGTTCTTTCTGGAAGTTCTAGGGGAGGATTCACCCCCTTGCCTTTTCCAGTTGTGGAAAAAAAAAACCAAACCCATTGCTGTGGAGTCAATTCCAACTCACAGCAACACTATAGGACAGAGTAGAACCGCCCCGTAGGGTTTCTAAGGAGCAGCTGGTGGATTCGAACTGCTGAACTTTTGGTTAACAGCCGAGCTCTTAACCACTGTGCCACCAGGGCTCCTTCCAGTTGCTAGAGGCCGCCATTTTCCTTGGCTCATGGCCTCTTCCTCCATTTTAAAAGCCATCAGTGTAACTGCTTCTCTTTTCTGACCTTCTGCCTCCTTATAAGGACCGATGTGATTACGTTGGCCCCCCCGCCCAGATAATCCAGGATCATCTCCTGGATCCTTAATCACATCTGCCAATCCCTTTGCCGTGTGTGTGTGTGTGTGTGTGTGTGTGTGTGTGTGTGTGTGTGTACACATATATGCATACACACATATACATACATATATCCTATTGGTGCTATTTCTGGAGATCTCTGACTATCTTAGTTATCTAGCACTGCTATAACAGAAATACCACAAGAGGATGACTTTAACAAACAGAAATTTATTCTGCACAGTCTAGGAGGCTAGAATTCCAAATTTCAGGGCACCAGCTCCAGGGGAAGGCTTTCTGTCTCTGTTGGCTCTTGGGGAAGGTCCTTGTCATCGCTCTTCC